AGGCTGCATGCCATCTGCCTGATCATGTAGCCAACCTTTGACTCACCTTGCATTAAAATAATGCTCTTTATTGTGATGCCTCTAACCAAAACTTAGGATATCAATAAAAGTATAGCCTAGTGGATAATGTGGTATCAAACCAGCCTCCTGCATTCCTTTGTTAGATTTGTTTCTCTACATTCTATAAAAACTTAAAAGTCTCCTTGAAACACACAGCCACAATGGCTATTCTGTGCTCTAGTTTCTGCAGAGGAATCCATTCGTTAAAAGTACTGCTCCATTAACTCTCACATGCATAATGTATAGGGCAATCCATTAAGATTTGTGAAATGAGAAGTCATGCATGTCAAAGTCTCAAAATGTTTTCACCTTTTGCAGTGATCTTCATTCTCCACTGAGCAGCTGTAGACCATAGCGAGGTTTACAATAGTCCCATCATCACAACCCTCATACAGAAAGCCAGAAATATCAGGACGATCCATAACAACCAGCTATTTTAAGTTCAGACTGTTACTGGGCCCTTGTACTTTATCACAAAATGTGTGTTTTCTCTCCACAAACCTGGCTCTGTCCTATGTTAAAATCCTGTTTGTATCCCAACTAGGTTACTGCCTTCCAGAGAAGATGTCCTACTTAGCCCCTCCATCTCATCCAGATGGCTAAAATAACTGTCCCAACAGCAACATTACCTCAGTGTCCAAGTTGTGATTCAACCCAAATAAAGCCTTGCAGCTATATGACACTTACCAATTCTTCTTCTTTGCAGTTATTCATGATATAAAGATTTTATATTTTAATATTTTATATATCTATATATTTTCTTATTTATAGTTCCCTGTACTAATACTTACTGCAAGTATGACTTTTTTTTCTTACTGTGCATCTGCAAAGGAACTCCAAATGTTAAATGTGATGTACGCATCTAGACATTTCAGCCTTTATCTACAATATAACACTGTGTTGACGCAATGATGCAGCTCTTTCTGTAGTGCAGAAGTTAGACACAGAAACAGACACAGAAAAGAGTCTTTTGCTCCAGCTGATTAAATCATTTATCCTTCTCAATTATGCATGGTGTTTCCTATCACTTTAAAATCAAAGAAAACACTGAAAGAGAAATCCTTGATACTTCCAACAGAAATAGCAAAACAAGTTTCCTATCCGCTGTCTCACGAGCAGCTGCAGACCTTATAACTGAAAACATCCTATGTTTGACTCTTGCTTCTCCAGTTTCTCTGTTTTGGGAAGATTTTCTTCTTGTCCGTGTTCGCAAATATTGATCGGCTGGCCTTAGACGACAAGAATAACACAGTATAGGAATTCCTAAATTGAGTTGTGTTTATCTTTTGAACCTTAAACACACGGATGAGGCCTTCGAGGTTACAAGTTGAACGGACAGACTGCCTCATTCTTGGAGGTGTCAAATAAACATCGGACTTTCACATGAAGTCACAATATACACAGCTAAACTAACAGTAAACATGAGAGAGAAAATGAGGGAGAGGTGTTAAGTGGTGGAGATGAAGGAACTGACGGCGGCAGAGGAAGAGTGGAGAGAATTGAAGACGTGATCCTTGATGGAGGCATATACTCCTGGAGAGAGACATGAGATGACGCTGACTGTGACCTTGTCTGAGCTTGTGGTATTTTCTTAACTTGATTCCCCCGCTGGATGTGTGGGTGCATGCATGTGTGCGTGTTAGCTCGGAGTGGCCCCATTATTGATAGCTCTAACAAGCCTAGGTCAAAGGTCAGACAGTGGTGAGTGGAAAAGGATGGAGCAAGACTGTTAAAGGTCCTTTAAACACCACCTGCCGTCACACACACACACACACACACACACACACACACACACACACACACACACACACACACACACACATACACACACATAGAGAACCCTGGCTGATTGTTACCAGACCATATTTAAACACATCCCTAGTGCCTCCACTGTTACTCTCCACCACAGAGATGAGAGGTCTGTGCACAGATTCTAGTTTACACAACATGAGTTCAGCTGACTGTAATAATGAGACCAGAGCGTAAACAAGTTCACACTTTGAGGACTTTTTCCGCGTTATCAGTGCTTATTCTAGTGAGTTATTTCTTCTTGAAAACTGTGTATTGTGGGAGCGCCCGGATAGCTCAGTGGGTAGAGCTGGCGACCCATGTACCGAGGCTGAGTCCTTGCTGCGGCGGCCGAGGGTTCGAATCTGACCTGCAGCCCTTTGCTGTGTGTCATTCCCTCTCTCCGCTCCCCTTTACTGTCTATCTTCAGCTGTCACTATCATAAAGGCAATAAAATCCCAAAAATATACTTTAAAAAAAAGAAGAAAACTGTGTACGTTAAATTACACTATAGACAACAAATGAAAAAAGAAAACAGCAGGAGATATCCTTTAGACTTTTGTACAACATTTCCCAGGGGCAGACCTGCAGCCGGTGTGTGTGCTTGGAAGAAAGAGAGTTTCTGTGAGAACACTTCACAGTAAATCGACTTTGGGTAAATAAAGTCCTTCTGCTTGGCTTCTTCCACCCCTCGCCGCCAACCAGTCTGATAGCAACTATGGCACCTGCTCAAAAACAGCATGGCGCCGCTCTCTGTCTCTCAACTTCAATTCTATCCCTTAATAGGAACCATCACATCAGGAATTCACATTTAAAATGACAAAATCCTCCATAGGACCCTAATCAGTCAGTAAAATGATGAAAGAAGGTCTGGTATTTGCGAAGCTAACATTCAGCGGTGATTCATTATCACCATAAGTTTTACTGCATCAATATTTTCCACTTTTATTTCATCATATGTCCACCTATAAAATCAGAGTTAATATTTACATTTGAATTTCAGGCATTTAACCAACAGTCTGTACAACTAGAATAAGCTTAAAGGAGCTATGCACATGTTATAATCAGTAAATCATTACCATGTTTATTTTTACTTGACTATCACAGAGAAGGCTTGCAGCCTCTGTAGGCCTCCATGCTGCAGCTGAGCAAAGTGAGCAGTGGCAACATCCCTTTTGTGACAGGAAGCAGGAGGGTTTATGGGAAATGTGGTCACAATTTTGAGAAACATTAGCACTACACCACATGTGTGAGACAGAGGCTAGTTGTCTCAAACATGGTTTTATTAGTTTACAATTATTTTTACTAAGATACAACCATTCAGATAATAATGGTATGGCAGGTCTGGACAATATATCAAGACCATATAGTAGTATTATTATAAGACTACATATTGTCTGGGACTTTGGTTATTGACTGAATTATTGAACAGCAGTCTCCATACTGTGTTTTGCTGGTCTTAAAGGTAGTTTACTCACATGATAGCATTGTCTATACTTTTGTGACTGTCACTGTTGAAGCTACCTCTGCTCTACCAGGCTGGACATCATAACCACATTACTGTGCTGTTTCTCAAAACAATTTGTAAACTTATTCTGAACCCAAAAATATAATCAGGTATCAAAAATATATTTGACTGATGAAAACTGCAAAAGTCTGAAGATGGAAAATCCCTAACTGTGACGACAAAATGAAAGACTGCAAGACACGTTTCAGCACAGTTGCAACACTACAAAATTAATGACAGGGTGCTACACTACATGACTCCTGAACTGAACTTGTGAACTTCACACGAGCAGGTCCAAATTCTTCTTCTAAGAATTTGCCTACTTTGACAAATGCAACAAGGCTATGTTTTGACTGATGCACTTGAGACTATTTGAAAATACGCAGCTGATACATGTTGTTCATATCCACCTCTATCACTCATACAGCAAAACACAGAGGGTCACTTTGTTCCAGGGGAGCTGAAAACATGGAAAACACATTGCAGACCCACTCATGCGAGGCTGCTGGTTCTGTGTGTATGATGACCGATCATATTGGTGACACATTTAACTGAGTTCACTTGAGGTAGATTTGGATTCTTTCTTTTACATCATTTATCAATGTCTTTTAAAAATGCATGGCCAAATATTTCATGTTTCCCTGGATGTACCTTATCTAAACTTTTAACTGTTTAAAGGCTTTGTAACTTGTGACTTTACACCCACATAAACACAGAATTAATGTATTCTCTTTAATTGGGTTGTTGGGTTGTTGGTCAATTCCCAAGTCCACAGAGCTTTCCAGGAGCTCTTTGGCTTTCAAGACTCACTTTCTGGGTGGTTCTCTGTTTTGGAATAAACACCCTGCCCACCCAAAAAACACTGCCCACCCACTGGCTTTTCAAGATGCTGAAGAGGATAGGAAGTATATGTGTTCTGTATGAGTGAGCAACAGAGCAGTAAACACTTGGAAAATCATTATTGTTCTATTGATGTTCTATTTTACATTGCTCAGGCATTAAAATGTTCTTTTTTGTACTTTCCTATTGCTTCCTTTATTTTCTTACATCTCTATTTTACTGTCCTACCTTCAAAAGTATTTTCACCAACCAAATAACTTTTAATTTGGACTTCTCCGCTGTGTGAAACCACACAAAGAGCGTTAAACTGATTCTTTCTGACACAGACTTAGGCAGCTCACTGCCAAGCGCAGGTTTATGGACGATTCCAAAAACAGCAGTAATTTTAACAGACAAATCCCTCATTTACTCTCTTCTCCTGCAGTTCCTCATTTCCATCCTAGTCAATCATATAAGATAAGAAATGCAGCCCACCCAAAATCAGGACTCCAGAGATCTTTCTGCGGTCAGGTTTAGTTAACCAGTGAAAGCGTCAGTGCTCTGTTTACTAGCCTCTGTTGCTGCACCCTTCTATCCATCTCCACATTCCTCCTTTACAAATTACATTTGTCATTCTGAAAGCTGATGGTTTTCATTGGCATGCTTTGAACCTTGCGTGAGTGTGTGCACATATGCGCATGCATGAATGTGCATGACCTACAGGACCTACAAGTTCAGACTACGCTATGGGAACAAGGACAACATAGTTAATAGGAAATGAGCATGCGCCAAAGAAACACCTATTTTTGTGTGTGTGATCTCCTACCTGTTATTGTGATGTTGCTGTAGATGTTGGACAGTTGCTCTTTCAGCAGGACGAGCTGCGTGGTAGCTGCTTTCTCCCGCTGCAGCTCCAGCATTATGTCAGGATGGTTCGCCAGTTTGCAGCCCTTCTGTTTGTCCAGTGCAATGTCACTGCGCACTATATCTGCAAAGCAGCATAGATGGAAGAAATGAAGGCTGCTTTAGTATTATTGTTATTGTAGATTTGAACAATATCATTCTTTTGTTGCTCTTTTCATCCAAAATGATAAAGTATAGCAAGTTAAAATTTGTTTTGCTTCTTCGGTTTGTTTTAGAAATTGATTTGTAAGTAAAGCCTGGACCACTTGTTGAAAGGTGAAGTCACACACAGTTCTTTTGAAAAACATAATATCTCAATGGTTGTAACAGATCTTTCTTTTTTTTTTTAAAAAAAAAAATATATATGGTATTGAAAAGTAACACAAACGCATGTTATAAGCCTACTAAGCTATATATCATGTTACAAACACATCTGTAGTGTCCACTTAGTTGAGCATCTAACTAAAACTAATGCAATCCTATAAGAACCCTACCAGAACTTCATTAAGGTTATAATTTTCAGGTTTTGTTGAAACTATTTGATGTGTTAATTCAACTTCATGGTGACTTCGGAGGCTGTAATTGGAGGCGCAGTTAAGTTGTAGCCTATTGTAATACTGAGAGGAGTTTCTAATATTTTGTCCACCCCATTTAGTGAGGGTAGACCAAATATTAGCCACCTCCCTTATGAAGCTCTGAACGTTGCAACCTTCGTCGAGGTAGGATTCATTGTAAGGCCGGTGTTAGTTTTAGCTATGTGCCCACAATAACTGTCAGCTTACTGTATTTTACAGGGAAATAGACGCCGTGTCAAATAAATAAACGGCGTAATCTCTGGAAGAAAGAATAACTCTGCACCAAAAAATTATTGAGTGCGTCTGACAGTTCACACAAGGAGGGGAAACATGGACAGACGAGGAACCGACGCCTACGCAGCCTGTAAAAGCCCGTCGACAATACACATTTCGGGCACGCAGAGGAAGAAGAGAAGAGAAATGTCGTGTCTATTCACCGTCTTCGTAGTTCTTCAGATAGTAGTCTGGTCCTGGTCCCCTGAACTTGGCGAGGTTCTTCTGGTTGTTGAACTGCAGGAAGTCGGTCCGCTTTCCGCCGAAACGCAGAAAGGCAGGCGACAGGCCGCGCGCCAGGGTCACGAGCCGCTTGGAGCTGCGGACACACAGACAGACAGACAGACAGACAGAATGACACTCGCGTAATTAATATTAAGTATTAAGAGTCACAGCTGTGCGTAATTAAAATGTTATATGTGTCTGTAGCTTCAATATAACCACGGTTAAATTTAGGAAGGGGAAGAAACCAGTTTGGAAAAGCGACAAAACTTCTCAGCTGTTATAATCTCAATTACGTGCAGTTTACTTTAGCTCAGACTTGTAGTTCAAATAGGAAAAAAGACAGATACAAATAAGTCATTTCACGTTGCTGTTGCTCTCAGAGAACCGCAGGCCTGTTGCTTAACTTCTGCCCTGTTTTTTTCTTTGACAGCACTGGGCCCAGAAACAGGCAGCTACTTCAACATCATCTGTCATCCGCTGCACAAAACCTTCAGCAGGTACAGTAGAACTTGAGGAGCGACCGGTTAAAACAACACACAGAGGCGAGCCTATGTAATATTTAGAGGATGAACGACTTTATTCCCCACTGTTTTAAATTCTAAGGAGTTTACTATTCATGAAGATATGAAATGAAGGAGTTTTTCCAAATAATCTGTAGCTGCTACTTTTATTTTCAGCTGTCACAGACTACTAAAAACAAAGTGTCCTGTTCTTATTTTTGGGTGCAAGTGAACACATATAGTTAATTATCATTGATAACAAATATAATAGGCTATTTAAAATAACATGTTACTATTATTATATCTAGAAACTGGATGCAGCATGAAAATAGCAATTTAGTTCTGTGTGATGTTTAAAAAGTTAATATCTAGTGTATATGCAGTTTTAATGTTTTGAAAAACGAATAAAAGCACACGAGGGTCTTTTATTTTGTTCTAAATCACTGGATTTTTCATTACAGCCTACGTGGCATGCAGTCGGCTTAAACTCTACACAATAAAATGACGGAAGATGCATAAAGTGACGCCCGACAGACCTGCAGATTACAGTACAGCTTGTTTAGGTTATTTCAGCTTAATCAATCATTACTCAAATTCCAGGCTGCTTGTTTAAAGTAAATGTATACAGTAGTCTATATTCATTATGAAAAGACTGGGCACGAAACAACTAACACAATTGTGAAGGAGGTTATGAAAGAGGAAAATTGTGAATATGAATATGAATGGTATGTGGTAAAGTATATAATGGTAAATTAAAAATGTCCCCATGCATTTATAGTAAAATAATAAAACAGTTTTGCATTTTCCTTCTTGTATTATTAGGGGATGAATGGTGTACATACAGGCCTAAGGTTAACCATTTTGTCAGTAAATAGTTTCCAGTTTCATGAAATTTACTGCACAAAATGATGTAATGTTTTCACATATAGATCACTTTCTGTAGATCATATTTAGCAAATCTCTGACAATAGTACAACTACAGTGGGACTGAATAATACACTTTTAAATCTAATCAAGAACATGTTGAGTCCTTAGTTTTGTTTGTATTATGAGCTGAAAAGTTTAGTATAAATTGGAATCCTTGATTAGTTATTTTGCATTGTTTTGAATTTTAAAATATCCTGATTCATAATGCATGGCCAGTGGCGATGGTTTTCACAATGTGCGTCTCTGGTGACCTTTTGATGTGAAAAGTCACAAAACTGAATGAAACTCGGTCAGTTAAATTCACCATGCAATTTAAAAATTATTACAAAAAACATTGGTGTCATTGGACCCAAGTGAAATTGGATATTTAGCCGTTTTAAGAAAATATAAATAAAACCTCCAAACTAGATCTCTTTACTAGTAAAGTGAAATGGACATTTTGCCTTGTAGGCGGGTAAAGGTCACGCCGTATACTATCTGCATATGATGTGTACATTACAGTGTAACAGCTATAAGCTCAACAATCGTTTACTCTCAGCGTCGCCTTATTAAATTATCTGATTTGGACTTCGCAAGCCTCGATGAAACTCATTCAGTATTGTGGAGCATTGGACCACTCAGTGCCCTGAGTGAGTAAGAAACGTGCTGGCTCACTCCATGACAATTCAGACAACGTGGCTGCGTGCGTAATGAATAAAAGTTCCACCAAACATTTTGGAGGTGGACATCGATAGAGATCGGTGTTGTTGGTTAGCAAGAAAGCTCTTTGGTACCTCAGAAAGTCCAGCCAGCCGTCTTTGATGATCGAGGGGTCCAGCTGCAAAGAAAGGAAGTTGTCGTTGAGGACTCTGATCGGACTGCGGGTGTTGACATCCAGGAGAATCAGCGTCCTCTCCATGAAGCCCGGTCGCTTCCCACCGGCTGCAGGTCTCTGATATGTAGAGGAGGAAGAAGAAGAGTAGGAGGAAGAGAGAACCGACTGCACCACCAAAGTAGCCAAAGATGCCAGCCACAGGGAGGACCATGGGAATACGCAAGGTGAGGATTTGGGCATCTTCTTGGTTTGGAGAGCAGTGGGATCCGTGCGCGTAATGAGGCTTAAAGGTGAGAAGAAAAAAACATCAACTAAACAAACTCTGCTGCCGCGAAGTTCGATGGTGGTTCTTTACCTCGGTCTCATCGATCTGGATCTGTCTTCCTGTCTAGTTGTCTCACCCCCTCTGCCCCCCGCCCCTCCGAGTATTTTGGGAGCTGCTCACAAGAGCGCACGCCCCGAGCCAGCCTTCCCGGTTGTGAGAGCCAGAAGCTGGGAGGAGGAGAGGAGGCAGCACCGCCCCTCTAAGGTTCTCTGAGGTATGAGTACAAACTGCTCAAAAGTAGTTTTCTCAGCTCATATAACCAACTGTAGTTTAGTCTGAGGAGGTGGGGACGCATTGTCTTATAATAGTTTTCTCATATTATGTGTAAAATAGCACAACAGTAAAACAACAACAATATAATTTGATCGAAAACCAAAGTTGAATCCAGCAATAAAGTTAAACCCAAAGAGTGCAACAAGTAGCTGCGCATATTTACATGTTATTAGGTTATTGTGATGATGATGAAAATGCTTTCTAACTATAAAATGAGTAAGCTGTGTTGGCTGATGCACCGACTCATTTCGTGATAATAAGAATCTGTAATTTATGAAAAGTTAAGCCTATTCAGTTCTAGAAAAACATGACTGGGAGTAAAATGTATTCTCTCATATGAAAAAATGAACACCGCAATCTGTTTGTGGAGCAGTTAAAGGCTGCGCAAAGGCCTATCCGGGTATGTAATTGAGGTTAAACTCACTCCAACTCAGATTTACCCACCATACATTCATTTTGATGGATTACTGACTTTTTGTTTGACTAAATGTCATCAATTCCCATTGCAAACCCACATCGCTGGCTACACATTTTAAATCAAATTGATGTAAGACCTACAGTGCAACAATCTCCAGGCTACACAGTCCGAGGGAACAAAAGAAGACCTGCTTCAAAACAAGAAAAGATATAATCTTGTCAGCAGAATATTTCATGTTTCTGGGTACTGTGGAGGCTTCAGTTTGTTTTGACAAACAACTGATTGATTGCACATTTTTTAAGAGCAATGACATTTGGAGATGGCAACATGAGCAGTTTGGCCCCTTTTCAAAAACATTCAAAACCAATTTGGGTTTTTAAGTTTCTACACATGGAACTCACCTATAAACTCTTTATGTGACTTTTCTTTCCAGATGTTCTTGGGGCAGTGGTGAGCAAGAAACACACAAACAAAGTACAGTCTATTGTGATTCTCCAGGGCGCAGCGCGCCAACGTCCCATCAGGCGGTCAGTGTAGCGAGAAGTGGTCGTTTAAGGTCACTGCTGTCTCACAGATGAGCAGCAAACTACATGAGAAGAAAATGTTCCGCGTAAAGGCCTGTTTAATCTTCTTATCCCGGCCTACAACACCTACTCACGAATACGTTAAACCGCAAAATTATCCAAGGTGTTAACGTTTCAGGTTTTACGCACGAAAGTTCCCATTAAACGCATTAAAGCATCCAGCAGGCAGTATTTTGTAATGACGCATCTGTAAAAATTATCCTGGTAATTCTTCAACTAAACGTGTAAAGGCAGCTTAGGGCCACTCCCGAGTGCCAGATACTCTTCGGAAACACAAAGATGAAACCGGCCTGTACCGTATCCGAGACTCCAGTCATCCAGCAGTATCTTTTCTTCATATACGCCCTATTAAGCAGAGATCCACACAGCCTTTTAGCAGAAAACCATGAGACTCCTTCTTCATGTTGTCATTTTGGCTCAGCTAGAAATCATAGTTAACATGTGGTTTCAATATAACCCAAGTTTTTTGTTTTCAGTAGAAAAGTATTTAACTTTTATTTATTTACATAAGCTACGAGTTCTCGAATTAGCTTTTTAATATTAAACTGTGCTATGGGATATCTGGCATGTCACTCACCCACAGTTTTGGGGATGTTTTTCTAAGAAAAGTAAAAAGAAACTTTACCCTAACGAAACATCAATATGATTGTATAATATTTCAAAAGGAAATTACATATGTGTCTGTGCGATTGTGGTGTGTAAGTGTGTTAGTGTATTTCTATTCACTATTGTATAACATTCTTTACACTGTTTTGCTGTGAAGTGGCACCGGCTTTATGACCTCTTCTAGTGATCGACTGCACTGGAGGAGCTCTTGAAATGAAAGTGGTTAATTGTTTTTTTGACAGACCTGAGACTCAGATTAAAACTAAATCAAAGCAGCACCACGACTCACTGCTGCCCAGCAGAAAATATGAATGAATTGCATTAAATATTTTTTAAAAAATCGTGGCTTTAAAGGTATAACTTCATGTTCAGGCAATGACTGCTAACAGCCGAGTTTGAATAAAATCCTTCAACTGAACGAAAATCTTCTTATTCATATGAAACAGGACATAATCAGTTCCTAACACCGATGGTCTAAATAAACCAGTTCCTCAAACAAGCATAATTATGTATGTGTATGTATCTATAAATGTATAGGTTAAGTTGGACTTTGAGCAGTAATATACAAGAAAATTCCTCAATCTATGGGAACTATTGGGCTCAGCTGCTTCATTGTGTGTGAACTTAAAAACGTTTTGTTCAGCATGAGATTATTGTTAAAGATAGATACGCATATTTTTTTGTAAATATATTATAGAATTCGGACACTTTACTAATAATATAATTGTGGAGTCGTGTATAGGGACATCCATTATCTCACATATATCGATCCACTATCAGTAAGAGATTATAATACATGATTAATTGTCATATAGGAGTTTTTAAAAACTCCCTAAAGGGAAATAAGAAAGTTTCTGTAGAGCTTCGCGAGTGATTTTCGTTGGGAAATTAACTATTTAAGTTTTATTTGACCGCCTCCTGCGTGTTTCAGTTAGTAATATTACCATCGAAAAACTTTGTATATCGACAGGAATAATGTAAGAGGGAAGGTGCGGATTTTATTTTTAAAGAATAAATTCTCTGGCAACGTTTTTAAGTTAGATTTTCAGACTTTCAACCGGCAAACAAATTCACGAGAACATTCAGGATATTGTCCGAATTAAAGTTAACTGATGTGTTAAAAATCGGATGGATCGGATAAAAATTAAAGAAGGCCAATCCTCATTTCACTGGTGGTGCTCGGGACCCAGGTTGTTCTGTTTTTTGTTCAAAGTCTTTTTTCCTCCAAATGTTATGGTGGATGTGTGACTGACGCAGAGCAGAGAGAGTGTTTAAGACTTGGCAGGACTCTGTTCTCACCTTCAGTTTCCTACCTCGTAAATCCGGCAGATTTGTGGTCATCGAACTGTGCTGCACTAAAGCTTCCCTGTATATTCAAGAGCAGCTGAACAATGTGCGGTAATAATCATAACAGCAACATAAATAATAATAATAACAATTATAGTAACAAACCTATTTCCCTGTTGGTACTTCATTGTGTTTGTAACAGAAAATACTTCTTATATCTTATATTACTGAATTAGTATTTCATTTTCTGAATATTAACATTTATACTCCATCAGTGGTGGCACTACTAATAAGTCGGTCTTTATGCATAATATATTCCGTGAGATATAAAGGTTTTATGTGATAGCCCATTTTTTAAAGGATTAACGTGTATTCTTCTAAAATGCGCCGAGAGATTACAACAATTGTTCTGTTTCTTAAGGGATGCAAATCCTGAAAACAAAAGGGGTTTTTTTATAAAGAAATAAATCCACAAACATGATCCCGTGCATTACTTAAGTTTGATGTATACTACATGTACTTTTCAGAACAGGCTGCACCGAAACAGCTGATAATGCTGCCATCTAGTGGAAACAGCCAAACAGCTAAAACATAATACGTCTTAACTGAGTGTAATGTTTGCGACTCCCTATCTCATATTGCCTTTATACACTTAAAGCTCGGCGATAAATGACCTAAATTATGTTTATGGTGAGTTTTAAATAATGTATAGTGTATTCTGTCCCTTTAGGTTTGATATTAGTAGCATATCCGTCCATCATTTAGCCTATTAAGGGTTTTCTGTAGTTGTAGGTCTTGTTTGAGCCCGTGTGTATCACATTAATCATTCATGATTGGGCATTTCCTGCCTGTCTATTTTTAGAAACTGGCAGAAAGCAAATAAGACAGGCCTACGTCACGGTTTGTCATGTATATTTAAGGACTCTGGTGCCCCCTCCTCTCTCTCTCTCTCTCTCTCTCTCTCTCTCTCTCTCTCTCACACACACTCTCTCTCTCTCTCTCTCTCTCTCTCTCTCTCTCTCTCTAACATACCCATCCTCTTCTTCGTGGATATGGCCACCCAGCTGCTCCATCCATCCCATCCGCAAACCACGTGACCCAGTTCTCCCATGTCCTTCAGTAGTTCATTCAGCATGATGGCTGCGGATGCTGCGGATGCTCTCTGCTGCATCTTGCATCCGCGCCGGTTCTCTCTCCTCTTTCTCACCGTCACACTCTCCTCTCTGCCGGCCCCGACAGCAGCGCTGCTCGGCGTCCGGCCAGAAGACACCCAGAGCGGAGAGCTGTCCGTGCAGGATGGGATACTGAGGGCGACCGAGGGGACCCGCTTCATGCTGAGAGTTTACTACTCCGCATCTCCAGCTACAGAGCATCCCAACAGCCTGAACATCAGCGGCAGACCTGACGCCGCTCCGTGGATCGCGTTTATAGAGGAACCAGGTGAGGACAGCGGGGAGGCGGAGAGGCGGCTCCGGTCCACAGGGAATCTGTGTGAAGAGGAAAATGCCCGGAGCTCTGACATCGAGCTGCTGGGCTCTTTCAGATCCACCTCAAGTCAGAACTCAGTTTTGGTGGAGCTGCTCGCAAAAGACCTGCGCAGAGGCGAGGTGATCAAATACTACTCCATGTGCGCGTTCGATGGAGTAAAATGGGAGCATTTTAGCACCAAAGACTTCTGGTTGGCGGTGGTGGAGAGACCTCCAGAGGCAGATGTTTGGCTCCAGGCGGGTGTCTCGGTGCTCTTGTTGGGGCTGTCCGCGCTCTGCAGCGGTCTGAACATCAGCATGCTGGCTCTGGACCCCGTGGAGCTGCGGGTCCTGCAGAACAGTGGCACAGAGAAGGAGCAGAAATACGCACGGAAAATAGAGTCAGTGCGTAAACATGGAAACTACATCCTTTGCACTGTGGTGCTGGGGAATGTGCTTACAAATACCTGCTTTGTGGTGTGGATGTGCCAGATTTTAGGCATGACTGCTCTCTCAACTGCCTCGTGTACTTTGGGGATATTCTTTATTGGCGAGATTTTACCTCATTCCGTGGCGTCCAGGCACAGTTTAGCCATCGCTTCAAAGACCCTCTGCGCGACCCGCCTGCTGATGCTGGTGTTTTTCCCCATCGCCTACCCAGTCTCCAAGATTCTGGACATAATGCTGCACCAAGAGATCAGCAACTTTTACACCAGGGAGAAGTTGGTGGCCATGCTTCGCGTCACCGACCCGTACCACGACCTGGTCAAAGAGGAGCTCAACATCATCCAGGGAGCCCTGGAGCTGAGGACCAAGACCGTAGAGGACGTGCTGACCCCGCTGTCAGACTGCTACATGCTGTCCTCAGACGCTGTGCTGGATTTCTGCACCATGTCCGACGTGATGCAGAGCGGTTTCACCCGGATCCCGGTGTACGAGAACGAGAGATCCAATATTGTGGACATCCTGTTTGTCAAAGACTTGGCCTTCGTGGATCCTGACGATTGCACTCCTCTGAAAACAATTACTCAGTTTTACAAGCATCCCATGCACTGCGTGTTCAATGACACCAAGCTGGATGTGATGCTGGAAGAATTTAAGAGAGGTAACCACCATGTCCAGAACTTATAAGTAACTTATGAGTGAGAAGCCCATGTTGAGCGTGTGAGGCGCCATTAAATGTTTTTGAACAGTGTCAAGGCTACCTCCTGCCACCTAGCAGCTAAATGTCCTTTGAAGTGACTGTGCACTTAAAAAAGTTTTCAGTGCAGAAGTCAGTCTATACATCAGTCCATTGGCTCACAGTGGGCCTGCCAGTAAAGCCCTTTGATCCCCAGAGAAGTGAGAGCCATATGTGAAATCTGATACAGTGTCACACAGTGAGTGTGGTTCAGCCAGAGGTTAGAGGCTACAGAACCAGAATGGGGGTTATCTTAAGAATTTATGTAGTGAAAGTCATTTTCCCATGACAACAGCACTGTGAACTTTATCTGCCCCCACCACCCCTGCTTGTTTCCCCTCTCTCCATCATGCCATGTGTGTCAGTTATCAGATGTACACAAGTGTTGAACTGTTTAAAAAGGAATTTAGCCAGAGTAGAGGCATTTACCGCCACTGCAATGGCAGTGGAGGCAGTGAATATCTCTCTGACTCACACCTCTTTTGTCTGATAAGCATCTTTGCTGATAAGTGCATTCACAGTATCACAGCACTCAGTCTCTCATACACATGCAGCGATAGCATCTCTCCACTACCAAGCAAAAGTGTGTCGCCTCTCTCCGGGGAGTCTTGATGATAGCATTGAGTGTGACAGTGAATCGATGCTGTGTAGCAGTCCATACTGCTCCCCCTGACAGTGTCACAAGTTAAAATGGAGACATATGAGATGTTACTGGAACGGCTGTTATGTAAGGATTTTATTGGCATTGGCTTATGTTGTGGGGATTAAGATGTAATACTGTTTCATTGACAAAGAGAGCTTGATAGATGTCAGCAGCAGTTGTCCGATCAGAATGTGAAAGGGGACACAGTGGTGACTAAATTAGATTGCCACTTATAGGTCAAGAGGTCCACTGCTTTATTTTGTGCAGGATTATGAAGGATAGCTTTGGTCTGACACAAGTGATCCATGGGCTCAGGTCTGACCCTGTGTCTGTGTGTATTTCTTTATTGTGTGTTATCTATAAATAAGGTTAGGTGAAAATGTGAACTTCACCTTTAGATTATTTGTGTGCATCTAATTGTCAGCCCGCTTTGAAGCTTCCTCCACTCTGTAGGTCGTCGCCATCCAAGCCTGCAGAGCAACCATGAAAAATTCAGCTCCAACCTTTCCCTTCCTCTCTCTCTCTCGCCTCCTTCCTTCTTTACTCTCATGGATTAAAGGCTCCTACTGTTCAGGAAGCCTGGCTGGAAGCTGTGAGGATGTCTCACTGAGAAGGGTGATGGGCTGGGGTGAGGTCTATGTTGGAGGAAAAGAGGGAAATGTCACCAGTAATGTTTGAACTGCAGAAATACTGTGCAGTTGAAAAACATATGCAAAAATATTTATTTTAGCTTTCATAAAACAAGCTTTGCTCTTTACTTTATGCATTTATGCTTTCATGGCATGAAATGTTAATGAGCAACGCAAACCCTGCTTTAAATCTTTTAATTTACTGGGTGAGTTATTTCATCAGTGGTGAAAGAAGTATTCAGGTAATTAAAAGTAGAAAAGTAGAAATAACTACAAGTAAACTGAAGTATTATCTACAAAACATACTTAAAATACTTGACATTTTGCAGAATGACCCATGTCAGCATTATATTATACACTGATATGTTTCGCATGTAAAATATTAATCTGAACAGAAACTAGTAGCTACAGGAGTTCATTATATATAGTGGAGTAAAAAGTACAACATTTCTCCCTGAAATGTAGTGGAGTAGAAGTATATGATTACAAGTGCAAGTACCTAAAAAAAATTTCTTAAGTACAGTATTTGAGTAAATCTATTTAGTTACTGTCTACCACTGCATACAATTCTACTAAAGAAACAAATTTAATACAATAAACAGTATACAAAATAGCCATTATGGTTTTTATATACTAAATGTGTGCGTGTGTGTAAAACAGAGAAAACATGCTGCAGAGAACTAAACAATGCATTATTTCTGTAGTACTGTATGGCTATAATGTTTGCATAAAACACAGACAGCAAATATACACATAATGCACAATCATAATGCCAACACATTATGCATGAACTAAAACAACACATGGAGTTCAAACAGAGACTGGAGGAGCCTGGGAAACTGGTGGAGCAGAAACATTTGCAAAAGGGACATCCATGGTAGACCCAGTTTTGCCTCAGGCATGTGTGTCTGTGTGTGTGTGTGTGTTTTATTCTGCAAGAGTATTATGTAACATATGAATGATGTAATGCAGTGCCCGGGCACATAAGCAGCTGATGGCAAAATCCACCTCTGACTCACCTGAGCTCTTCAGACAAGTTGACCTCAGCACCGAGTACAACCTCGCCATTTCAGCCAATCTCACACAGACGTGAGTCTCGTGTTTGGAGATGGCTGCCTGTCAGTCAATCAGGATTTTTTTTCTCTTGTTGCAGTGGATTAAAGCATTTGATCCATTTTATCCCTTGGCAGTGATGCCCTAAATCGGCCCATCTCACTCGCCACTGATTTTGATCGAAGCGAGGTTTGAGTTTTTTATGTTGAAAGCTGTGTTCTAGTGACATCATAAATTTGGTTAGATAACTTATTTGGTCACCAACAGACTTACGTGTTGATGTAAGACGAACCATGGCAGTGGTGGTTATGATGTTTAAGCCAAAATACAGAATAGTAACTGATTTCTAAAATATCTGCGTTTTTGGTGGTTAAAGGAAAATAACAAAACAATATGTAACAACTAGTTTGTGCTGTTCATGGTTTTTTTTCCTGTTCTTCTCCTTGTGTTGTTCGAGTTTGGTGGTAACTTTAACTGCTTGTCACATCAGCTTTATTGACTCACTCTGGAGATGCTGTTGGCGAGCTGTGTCATTGTATCTAGCAGGCTTGTCATGTTCAGCCAAACCATTCCTGAGTGGGAGCTCTGGGTCTGCTCATGTGATGTGTAAAGTGTGTATGTGTTGTGTCTGTGTGTGTGGTGTCTGCGTGTGTGTCTGCGTGTTGTTGTTTTTTTACAGAGATGGCAGCAGCATGGGCAGTTTTGTCAGCAGATGCAGGCATCCCCAGACTGATTGCGTAATCTCAGTGTTTACGTAAGGACCAAGTCTTCCTAACTGTCAAAGTCTCCAGACTAATCCCCCAGTGTCCACTTGCCTCATCGTCTGAGTCACACACACACACACACACACACACACACACACACACACACACACACACACACACACACACACACACACACACACACACACACACAAGGGCAGACCTGACATTGAAATAATTTTATACTAAGTTAGAGCTCTCTCAGCCCCAGTTGGTGTTTTAATGCTGATTTTCTTGATTCTTTACTGGACAGATGCTGTTGGAGGCTGTTGACTCGTGTTATTTTTATCCTGTGACGTTGCCTCTCAACTCATTGCATGAGCGGTTTTTAGGGTAAACTCACATTTTAACTCACCCCTTTTCCTTTCTGATGAATGCAGGTAAGTCCCACCTGGCTGTGGTGCAGAGGGTGAACAGCGAAGGGGAGGGAGACCCCTTCTATGAAGTGATGGGCATCGTCACCCTGGAGGATGTCATAGAAGAAATCATCAAGTCTGAGATTGTGGATGAGACAGACCTGTATAGTACGTATGATGCATAAAAACACTGATTATAAAGGTCTGAGTTTTCAAAGTCACTGTTGCATTAGCTGTGAATCAATTTTATTATATTTCCAGCTCCCACCCTGAATAGATTTTCTCTCAGTTTGTCACAGCAGCTGACAGAGTTTGTTCAGCTCTGTGGTTCACAACATCACTAGAAAATGCTCATTTTGAACAACATAGTACATATCAATATTTAGGGATAGCATTTTTGCATTAATATTACATTGTTATTTCCTTTCTTCTACCATCTCCCCTCCTTATATACTCATTAAACTATTGATCCCACCTTCTCTCCCCTGTTGTTCGCAGCTCCTTGCTGATGCATAATTAAATAATGTGAATAAATAGCCCAGTCTCACAGATAATCACCATAATCCGCTCATCTTTAATTGGCTGGAAAGGCTCTCCACAGAAAGGCATTCAAATGCCAAACTCCCTTCATTTCATATCTAATCTAATCTTTTCACTCACTGAATTGTACTATTTGCATGCTACAATTAGGGAAAAATAACTTTTTATTACACACAAAAATTCCTCCTCCCAGAAGAAATGAACATAAACATTTCAAGTGTGCTACAATTTTAATTACATGCAGAGTATGTGAAGCAGTATGTCATGGGTGCACTTTTTTGTGTGTTTTTTTGTGTGTCTGCTTGTGCATAATTATGTGTGTGTGTATAGATAGCACAGGGGAGCTAATCTCTCCAGACTTAGCACTTCAGGCATTTATAGCACCAGCTGTTCTTGCTGTATTTAATGGAATATAATATTTAATACATCTGCAGAGCAGAGGATAAGTCGTTTTATCAATCAGAGGTGTGTTTACACAGTACTGGATAATCTTAAGCTATTTGCAACTGTAGATACACTGACTAAGAGAAATCATGTCTATAAATCTGTAGTGTTTGTTACCATGCAGCATATAAAGTTGCATCAACTAATTAGGTCAGTTGCACCTCTAAATAGTTGCTAATTCCTTACAGTGCCAACAAGAAAACTGTACTTATGTGGGATATCTAGCAACACCTTTCCCCTCCCTCAGCTGATATCAGAGCACATATAAAATGTGAAATCTGAATTGTATACCTTCCGTGCACTTTATATGATTTGCAATCTGTGTGTGTTCATAGCTGATAATCGGAACAAAAGGCGAGTATCCAACCATGAGAGGAAACAGCAGGATTTCTCTATCTTCAAACTGTCTGAAAATGAGCTGAAGGTGAAGATCTCACCCCAGCTTTTGCTCGCAACACACCGCTTCTTGGCTACAGGTAGCATTGGATGTTTGTGTTCCTTCATGTGTGTATGTACTGTATGCAGAGTATTTGGAGGTGCACACAGTGGATGACAGGATAAAATGAGGAAAAGGACATGTGACAGGGAACACTGTGTTCTTCCTTTGACTCTTGTTTTGGTGTGTCCTTGTGCGTGTGTGTCTATATGCATCTATCTTGTAGAGGTGGAGCCTTTCAGGCCCTGTCACCTGTCGGAGAAGATCTTGCTGCGTCTCATCAAACATCCCAGCGTTGTGCAGGAGCTCAAGTTCAACCCCAAGAACAAACACGCTCCTCAACACTACCTCTTCCAGAGAAACAAACCTGTCGACTACTTTGTCCTCATTCTGCAGGTAAATCCCAAACTCTGCTGCTGCTTTTTAAGCCAAATACTTATTTTAATTAACACTAATGTATATGAATCATGAAACAATAGTCACTTACATGCTTGATATTGTTACAGTGTTTTTCTGCATATTTCCTGTATGGGAGGCTCCATTAGATGAGTAATCAATTCAGTGTCACACCACAAGCATAGAGCACAGATCTAATGCATGTAAATGGCTGTGTTGACACTGCAGGGACGGGTGGAGGTAGAGATCGGAAAGGAGGCTCTCCGCTTTGAAAATGGAGCGTTTTCCTATTATGGCATGCCAGCACTCATCCCGCCACTGCCTATTGGTAAGTAAGTGCACACATGAAGCAATGTAGATCAATACTTCTAGGGGACTCACAATGAGGGTGATGGTGATGACAGCAGAGAAGAGAGTTCAGCAATAATAATGAGACAATTAGTGCAGTGCCGGTGGTGGAAGTGGTGTTTTTGCTGTCTGAATCCCGCCCAGCGTCTGTATAGTCAGCCTGCAAGAGCAGCAGCAGCAGCAGCAGCAGCAGCCGTGGGAAGTAAGTAATTAAAAGAAGTGATTTCAGAGAATTTCCCAGTGGAAGATCATGACCTGCACAGGATTATATGAAATCCAGCTAAGACTGCAGAGCAAGCATAAAAGCCTGTCTGTCACTCTCGCTCCCACTCTCTCTCTCTCACTGTTTCATGTGGTTGTGTGCATGTTTTGCATGTGTGATTTTCAGGGTAAGCTTAAAGCAATTTGGAAAACCCTATTAAATATTTGAAAATCCCTTCTTAGGACATTACAGAATCCAGCATGTTCTCTTAAGCAGCTACAGAAGTATCACATCTAAAAAAAAATCTGTTTTTTTTACTTGCTTTCTGTGTGAGCTATGCTCTCCAATGGGCTTGACAAGGGTGGTAGTGTAGCTGCTTCCTAACAATATATATATATATATGTATATATATATATATGTAAATAAATCTAAATAAAAGGTGTAGTGTTGTCAGTAGTGGTGGCTGACACTTGACCTTGACTATGTAACAACACATTTCTCAGTGGGTTGAACAGCTTTGGAAACATGTTCATGCTGATTTTATAGACTAAAAATAGTGTGTAATTCTGAGAACGCACGCACGCACGCACGCACACACACACACACACACACACACACACACACACACACACACACACACACAGAGTAAAGACTACAGTTAGCTACAATACCATCAAAATTAATGAAGCATGGTGTACTGGAGGAGAGTTGTGAGACTTGTTTATTTTGATGGACTTGTAGCCTACTGAACTCAGAAATCATAATAATTAAGCTTTTTTTATATAAATAAATAAATTAAATATTTTCTTCTCATGTGCCGAACATAGAAACTGGAAAAATATAATTAAATAGCATTTTGATAGATTTGGGTGCATGAACTCTTTTAATACTTTCGGATAGACACCCAGTTCAGTCAGACAACTCACGTTTGAAATGTTTATTACAGCAGTATAGCATAGTTAGATTTTGGCATCTAGGCTCCGACCTCATGAGCAAATACCTTAAACCCCCAGGCCGGAGCCTACAGGTGGATGCTGGGTAGGTGGTGGAGCTTACAGAGCAGAAGGCAGCAATACTGATACAGGGCAGCAGCGGCATTTGACAGAGCAGAGGGAGAGCTGGGAAATTTTGCAGCTTAAATAGACCGCCAGATTGGAAGGGTGTCGTGTGTATAGCAGTGCAGCTCGGATTGACTGCCTGAACTAACTCACAGGCTCCATTAGTGATGATGTTTGTATGAAATACACAACTAACATGTTTTCTTCTTCTGTTCTGTTTAGGTCCGAGGTATAGTTCCCGTAGCAGCGGTCTGAACCAATCAGATTTATTACTGAGTGGAGGCAGTGTGGGTCAGCTCACTACAGGAGGAGGGGTCTACTTACCCGACTACTCAGTCCGACAGCTCACGGACCTGCAGATTATCAAGGTTACAAACATAAACGCTTCCACACACCACACAAAAACTTATGAAAAAAACATCAGCCACTGTTATTATAAACTCAATTAAATGTAAAATTCCCTGCACACTTGAGGTTAAAAAAAAAAATTGGGAGCACAAGCAAGCAACTATACTTTTAAGCCCCCTCCATTTAATCTTTGAAATTCCCAGAAAATGTGAACTCTTCCTCTGCTGCTGCGTTTGCCTTTGATATGTCCTAATCCCTGATTCTGACTGAACACAGACATCCTGTCTCTCGCTCTCCCCTGCATTCACCCTCTTTCCTTTAATCACTGAGGATAATTGAGTTCCGTTTCAACCATGAATATTTTAGCCCTAAATGATGGATGTGCCCTTTCACTTCACCCTCCTCCACTTTTTACAGTACAGTCCATGTTCCATCCTGTCCACATGTACGGTTATTTAGATCTAATGCTGATGATAATACCTGCTTTCTATATCCAAACAGATCACCAGGAACCACTACCAGAACGCCCTCACGGCCACAAGAATGGACAGCTCCCCACAGACACCAGACCCAGTGGATCCTGATGCTAAAGGGAGGCCTCCAGTCCCAGAGGCCCGCTCACACAGCATCGCCCTCCCCCTCACACACACACACACTCGACTGGGGCTGGCACGCCTTGCACATCTCCATCCCCACGGTGGCCTTCGCAACACCTCGCAGCTCAATGAAAGAAACCGCATCGTTCGTAAGTAGTGTAGATGCTTCTTAATAATATATTGACTGCTCAAATTATGTTTATATTATTATGGTGGGTTGATAGAACTTGGTAAAATTATTAGTCAATTAATCAATCAATCCAAATAAAATTGCATCTACTACAATTTTGATCAATCAATTATTTATTTTTCAAGCAAGTATGCCAAACATTTATCAATTCCACCTTTCACAATGTGACTGTTTGCTGCTTTTCTCTCCAACTGGAAAAATATTTTTTTGATTTTGAGGTTTAGGAGGTTTGGCCAGTGTCTAACTCTGAAATAATTTCCTTTGTGTGAATTTCAGTGCAGAATATTTGAGTTCCAAGGTCTAAACACTGTTTTCAGAGGTTGTTTGACACAAGAATAAAATGCTGATGGAAACCGAGCAATGTTGGTCGACTTCAGTTTAGCTGACACAAATATACTTTATAGACAGCTTAACCCTAATCTACATATTCATTTATTCATTCAACCTTTACTTTAACTCGAATACATTGAGTCAGAGACCACATTTACAATATAGTAACAAATAAATAAATAAATACTAGGGCAGCACACTGGCTCATCTGGTAGAGCTCACACCCCATGCACTAAGGCTGAGTCCTTACCGCAGCAGTCTGGGTTTGCTTCCAGTCTGTGGCCCTTTGTGGGAGGTCATCCCTCTTTTATTTATTGTCTACATTCAGCTGTCCCTATCCAAAGGCACAAAATCCTGAAAAAATTATGAAAAAATGAATTAACTAAATTAAATTACACAAAAGATCCTAGGTACCAAGAAACACAAACAAGAAAATTAGATAAAAAATAAATGGTAATAAAAGTACAGTAATAAACCTTGAAGTAAAGCAATTAAAATGTGCAAATGAATCAACTAAAACAAGTGGAAGTCTAATAAAATGAGATTAAAAATTTCAATTGCCCTAAGGAAAGGAGGTAAGATTGTTTTGCATGTTATTCCAGGTTGAAGGTGCACAGAGAGAAAGAATGGATATTCCAAGCTCAGTAAAAATATATATATATCTATATATATATATAACTCTTTTGAGCATGTTCAATAAGGGCCGACATTAAAAGACAACATCAAAGTAATACAAAGGGGTTAATAATCAGGGCCTTATAAATCGAGAGAAATAGTGCCGCCCAACCTTAGCATACAGGTCAGTGATTAGTATTAATTATCACCAGTAATTCTGCACAAATAAATCTTAGTGCAGAATGATTGACAGCATCCAATGACTTCAGAGTTGCAGCTGAAACATGCATGTATGAAATGTCATCGTAAGGAAAGTTGAGACTTTAGTATTTGCACAATTCTTAGCAGTGATGATGAGATTATCTTGACTCTGCTGTACAACATGAATTTAGTTTGATGTACAAACTGATTTATGGTAATATTGGTGATTGTTTCTGTCTTAATTCCCATGTCCTTCTCACCATGGTTTGATGTCAACATGTGGGATAAAAATCTCTTAGTACCCGACATCACCATCTCCTCACACAGTGATCCTCCATTCCCTCTCAAACACATTTATTTCCCTTCTGAGCTCTGTGAGTTTCTCTATAAGCCCTTTGCTCAGGCAGCATTTCTCAGTTGTGGTTTCTACTTTTGTACTCACTGTTAGTTTCTATGGATAAGAGCAACACCAACTCCCTGAAATGTAAATGATGATCTGGCTCCATGAGCCTCAGTGAGAATTTCACGATTCATCGTACTGGTAGAGACTTCTTTGAAGAGGATGAAAGGTGGGGGGGGGAATCAAAGGATCAAACGCACTGATTGGAGTGCTTTTGTGGGCAAAGGGCCAAACCCTGTCTGACAGAAGACATACATGATAAATGTAACCATTGGATACTCTGACTGGTCAGGGGCAACCTGAAAATTCATTATCTGATGACTGGCGGGTCCAATGATAATAAATCCTGTAAAAAGTCCCAAAGACATTTATCAGTAAATAAATAAATCCATAAAAGTTCCATAGTGACTCACTCACAGAAGTGGTGCAAACGTGGCATCAACCAATCTGTATTGGTTTCAAGGCTTAAAGGATTTCCCACATACCATCTGTCTTACGCTGTGTGTAACACGCCACCCAGTTTGTGTGTGTTTGCGTTACTGTCATTAAGAAAAATTACTGCACAGATGGTTCTGTTGGTTGTCAATAAAAGAGAAGCATCCAGTTTAAATACCGCCAGTTTTTATATTCAAACACAACGCCACATATTTTAGCAATTAAGCCCCCCCCCCCCAAGTTGCATCTTTGGTTGGAATTTAAACCTCATGCTTTTAATCTTGGTCACCACTCATATTTAACTTCTAACCGGACACTAAAAAAAGCACTGACTGATAAAAACCAAGTTCTCTACCTCCCTCTATAGGCAGAGCCTCAAACCAGCTGCTGTTATGTGGCCACTTGGACTGATTGGTCTAATTCTGTCTTTACAGGCAGTAAATCTGATGGGCAGAGGAGTCCCAACGATACTGTGTTCCTCCGTATGGATGAGATTCCCTACATCCATGAGGACCGACCGGAAAATCATGGAGAGGATGGTGAGTGCTGCTCCACCCACCCCGAAAACAGGCTCATGAATCTTGAATTCTTTTCTCAGTTAAAACTCAAAAGTGACCTTTTAGTTTGATCCTCTGTTTAATTTGTTTGTTTGTTCCACAAGATTTTAGTCATAAGTAGTCACGATACATTGACTAAAACATCTACATATCACTGTAGGTCTGGAGGTTTTTTAGCCTCATCCACTCCATCTGTTTCTGCTGTATCACCTCCAACTTACTCTCTCGTCTCTTAAACTTCCTCCCTCAGATGTGCCTACAGAGTCTCAGCCATCCACCTCTCCCTTCATCAGCTCTCTGTCTCTGTCCAGCTCTGATGAGAACATTGGAAAGAAGCTATTGCGTAAATTGAGTGAGTGAGCCATTTGTCACACCGAACACGATGCGACACTACACCCACACATACCGTCAGATGTGCGCAAACTTTTCTGTCAGACGCAGGAACAGTGCCTGGTGTATCTTAGCAACAGGTAACGTGTCCCTCGCTGCAACCTACTCCTTCCGGCAGAGCAGATTCTCCAGATGCAATTGTCCCTGTTGGCTTGGATACAATATGACTCATTTACTTTTATTTATTCATTTGAGGCAGTAGCTGTGTTGCCTAGTGCAGCTGACGTTATTTCAGTTAATGGTAAATGTAAGGTTTAACAACAGTTTTGTGGAAGATGAAACAGTTTCAGCCAGGTATTTAAACCAGTAATGACTTACCTGAATTTCAGCATGTTCTCCTCTTTTTCTAGGTAACAAGAGGAGGAAAAAGTCTCGGGATGGAGACAAAAGTTTGGAGGAAGGTTCAGAGCAGCTGCCAGTGATGAGCTAGCACAGTGACACAGAGGAAGAGGGGTGAAGCGCACACCTTCTTCCTCTTTATCGTTCACTGGTTTTCCTAACTAAACACAACCATCCCTTCACAGAATCTCTCACAGGAGACTGAGCCATCTTATCTGTTGTAGCCACCAGTAATACTCAGGTCCCCACTGGCACAATGTCCCACCTCTGCCTGACTTCACACCCTTAAAGTGGGACGGATCTGTAGAAAAACAAAAACTCATTGGACAAATCTAAACAATATAGTATTGGATTTATCCAGCCTTACACTGGACTGTATTGATCTCAGCAGGTTTTGTAGTAAACAGGGCAAAGCTTGTCCACCCTTTTATAGTAGCTCTATCCATAATGTTAACATTTAATCATGTCATTTAAGCCATAATGTGAACTAAAACAGCAGCATAGCTTCTAATTTAATAACAGACTCTGCCTGCACTTCATATGGAACTTACAAAATCTCTCAACAAGGTCCTTAGATAATATCTGAGCCAGCTTTTACTTGATCAAACAAATAGTATTTATTATTTATTTGTTATTATGAGGCAGTTCCGACATACTGAAAATGTTGTTTGCACAGGGAACTGTCCTAATGTTGCCATAAGGGTGCCGCCTACTGCCAACACAACATGACACACTAGCCCTTGGCTAAGAAGAAAAGGCCACCAGACAAGAGCACAACTTTTACACCGGATTAAAAGAACACGTTTATGAAAAAGCCATAAATTAATTCTCAGCTTGAATGACTACTTATTGTACACACTGACCTCTCAGCAAGTCTAGAGGGGTATGCACGATTTTGAAAATACCCATACTAGAAAATAACAATTTCTTACCTGATTTTTATATAAAAGTGTCTGAATTACTAAAAGTGATTTAAAGATAGCAATATAAGTCATCTTACAAACTGTAAATGGCTTGAATTTATCACCACACAACCCCACACCTGCATACATTCAGTAAACACATCCTTCCTACATGAATGCATGTGTCTTTCATACAGTCAGTTTGGTATGTCTCTTTCCATTAGAACATCCCCTTCTCTCTGCATATGTAGCCGTATGGACACAGTTTTAGTGTTTCTCTCGAACACTCTCACTTATCCACCTTTTCTCTTGATATTACCACCTTTAAAAAAAAATCATCAAACCCTTGTTTGATTGCATTCACTAGAAGACGTAGGAGCGATCAACTTCATACCATTAGCTACCATATTAGCCACTTTTCTATGTACGGTTCATCTCTCACAAGGTCGGTCACTAAGCTGCATACACCATTTAAAAATAAGCTAGGGGTTGGGGGGGGGGGGGAAATCTTTGGGTCTCTGAATCCAAATTAGGAGTATTATTGACAAGGAGTAGTTGCTACCTGCATGTTTGTTTATGCTGCTTTTGCTGTAGAATTATCCTCTGTAGAAAGAAGCCCTGTGTTTCCATATGCATGCTTAAGTAGAGTGATGCATGAATAGGATGATACCAGTCTGCAGTAACTTCTCCCCACAGAGGTGCAGTGTGCGACTTACTGAGCTCTAAAGTGAGTGTAGATTATAAAATGAACCAGCCATCTGAAGTGTTGACTGCTAAAGCTGGGTGAAAAGTGATAGGTACGATAAATACTGCAGGATAACAAAGAAACACAAAACAACAAGCCTGCGATTTTCATTAAAGGCCATTTTTATGTTTTAACTGTTGCTATTAAGACACAAGGCGACAAAAAAAAAAAACGTCCAAGTGTATCTACTGAAGAGGGAGGAGGAGGAGGAGGCCATAGAATGCTGCTCGCCGAAGGAAACGTTTAAGCCATTGTTCTAGAAATCAGCTATTTACTGCAATAATGAAATGATTTGATCCTTTTTAGTGGCAGCTGCAGCTCAGGATGGACTAAGCTGATCTGCATTGTGAAATCTGGGCAGGTACACTGCTCAACAGAACAGAGAGAGATAGAGATATGATAGAGGAAAGCAATATGACGCACGCTGACGTCAAGCCACCACCTCCCTTCAAACACACACAGACACACACAGGTGGTGTTTGGGGACACTCAGTGATATAATTCATTCTGCTTGGTAAGGCTATGGAAGTACAAAGGATACTGCCCTGCTAAGCTATTCACATTGACCCCTCTATGTACACAGAACATGCAGCAGGAAGTCTTTTGATCTGACAACCAACTCAGACAAGAGGACTGGGTGTGAAGCTCTCAGCTGAGAGATTTTGCAGTTAACACCGATTTATATTTGTAAGGCTTGGTTTATTGTTTGTTTCGGGACTAAAAGGTACATTTTGTATTGTAAAATTCAGATGATTATATAAGTTACCCAAAGATCAAGAGACAGGCCATATGATCTACACAAAGGATAATTAAATTACTGAAATATTATTCTTGTCTACATTGTTTTTTCTCCACCATTTATATTTGTCTACTATAAAGTGTGCACCTGCATTGTTTTACTCTATGGTCATGAATGCAAACCTTATCATGAAAAATCAGCTTCAACGTATGTGACAACAATACAAACATACTGTTTAAAGTTATTTATTAGAGGAGTTCATTCATCTCATTAGACTGTCTGGTGAGGACATTTTCAGCTTGAATCCATTTTCTAAACATTATGACTAAACTTTATTGGTGTACTGTGCACAGTGATATGATATCAAACTGGTTGATCATTAGTGTGTTTGTGCCACTTACATGAGGACCTTGCATAATAGTGCACTAGTACTACGAACAGACAATCATTGTGCAAACTTAACCTTCACTTGAGAGGTGCCCGACAAGACTGCACAAAACAGAGTACACTCAGAGCCACAAAACCTGTTCATTCAGTACCATTTGTGCTCCACTAATACAGATTAAAAGTGAGGTAATTAGTATTACACCTTTGGGCATAAGACAGTATCATTAATAAATTACATAGTTCAAGTTAAAAATATCTTCCTGATAACACTCAGCTCTTGTTCACATTGCACCCAGCAATCAGTGCAATACCGCTACTTCATTCATGATAAGAGGTGGTAAACATTTCCTACTACCTCCAATTAAAGCTACACTAAGTCAGTTTGGTCATGTTAATATTATTCTGTTTTTCAAGTGTTCTTAACATCGGTTAATCACACATGCTAATTAATGCAGGCTAAATAAAATTGGAAATGTGTCATTAACACTTGGAATGGATGAATCATTACAGCGGGACAGAGGGAGTCAGCACTGCTGAGGTCATTGTAACACAGTCACAAATAACCCTCTCAAATGTCCCGGTAATGATATATAAACTAATGCACTGCATGTACAAACACAAGTAGGAGACCAACACAAAGTAAACAGAGGTACAAATTATAAACACAGTTACTGTATTTGCTGTTCTACCAGGGATTAGATGAAAGGATGAATATCTGTGCGTCTTTTTGTGCGTTCAGATAGAAATCGGTCCAAGATGCTAACCTAGCTTAGCACAAACACTGAAAGGAGGGGTAAACAGGAGCCAGTGTGCCGAGGGCTGTCTGTACATTTGTGGAAATGAGAGTTTATGTTTGCTCCAGGAAATCTGCTGGATACAAACACTTTCCCTGGAATCAGTTGGTTCAGGGCCAGGCTGGAGGAAGAGCTGTGAACTATGGGTAGTGTAGTCTTCTACTGGACCATGGTGACAGTCTCGTGGATGGACTCAGCCACGTAGTCTATGTTCTTGGTGGTCAAACCGCACATGTTGATGCGACCACTGGCCATTAAGTAGATGTGTTTCTCCTTCACCATATATTCCACTTGTTTGGCTGCAGGAAATACAGCAGAACCAGATTTAAATATTCAGTGAAGATGTAAAGATCTTTGTGAGTGTCAAAGGGAAATATATCATGCAGTATTGTGAACAAATGCTAAATTACCTGAATCCTGAAAGTAGTGCACACCTAATTTGTAATTCTGAGATTTGTAGAATCTAGATGAGTTTGGTTATTTTATGGGTTTGACTTTCATAGCTGTGGTGATCTTAGCATTAGCTTTTTGTTTTACAATGTTTCACCAGATTTGAAATAGTGTTTAAAGGCACTGGGGTTTTCCCCCCAAAGTGATACAGTTCAGTTAAGCATTTTCTGTCCAATTGCGATGCTAAATATACTGGTTTCTATTGGGATGTGTGTGTGTGGTGGTTGTGCTGAGCTGTGTATGTGCCAGTAGGTTATTATAGTTCACTAAAACTAGGTGTGAAAAAACATTCTAGTTAATCAAAATAAAAACTAGATGAAATGATATTGGGTACTGTATTGTATTTTAATACCTATTCTGAACTTCTTACATCTTTCCACTGACAAACACCCTCTATATTATGATAAACATACTCAAACTAATACTGAAACTAATAAAAACTAAACATTTTTAAACAACAAAAAGTAAACTGAAATGAGCAAACCCACTCTGGAAACTAACTGAAACTAAACTGAGTTGAAAACTAAAACTAAAAACAAAATAAAATGAAAAATAAATGAACTGTAACAACTCTGAATATGGTCTTTGTACTCACAGTTTAGGCCTGTGAAGCTGAACATGCCAATCTGCTCTGTGATGTGGTCCCAGGTCCCTGGTGTCCCCAGAGCTTGGAGCTTAGCTTTCAGCTGAGCCCTCATCAACAAGACCCTGTCAGCCATGGTCTTCACGTTGTCCTTCCTAGAGTCAAAGACATAGAAAAGAGTCAGTAAATACATTTATTACTGTTATACCTCATGCAATGCTTTGAGTGTTAGAGATATTTTGTGCTGACCATTCACTAAAGAGTTCAGGTGAGTTCAGAGTGATGGCGACAATGCGAGCTCCCTGAGATGGTGGGTTGGACCAAGTGGTCCTGACAATCTTCTCCATCTGGGACAGAATTCGCTTCAGGTTGTCTGCATCTTGAGCCACAATGGTCAGGTTGCCAACACGCTCATCTGATGGGACGAATACGTGTCAAATATAAAACAATATATTTGCTACTTTATTTACAGTACCAGTCTAAACTGCTGCTGCTACCTTTTACCAAACTGAGTTTTAGCTATGTGCTGTATATGTTCGTATACAGTATTTTTTCATGCTCGAAAATACGACAGGTGTGGATTCAGATTATTCCTTTATTTCCACTCTTCAGTAAGTATGTATGAATACTTATATCTTGTGCTTTCACTGTATAAGTTCAATCATTTATTTTTTAAACTGTCATAGTGATTAAAGACAATACAAAGAATGTCACTGTATCACTGAAGTGATGTACACCTCAATACACCCAGGGGTCACTCACTGTAGAGGCCAAAGTTCTTGGAGAACGACTGGGCGCAGAACATTTCAAAGCCCATGGAGACAAAGTAGCGGACCGCCCAGGCATCTTTCTCCAGACTGCCCGAGGCGAATCCCTGATAAGCCGAGTCAAAGAACACAAATAGCTTCCTCCTCTGGAAAAGAACAGGATAAAAGATCAAACAACCAGCACAATATGATAAACATTAAACATGCAAAACCATGTCCTGTTTAAACTAGACACTAAATGTTGGTGGAGATAGTTGAGACAACAGTTCAGACAACGTGTTTGTTTGATTGTGTCCATGTACGTTTATATTACCATCATAATGTCAGCGATCTGCATCCATTGCTCCTGTGTGGGGTCTGTGCCAGTTGGATTGTGGGCACAGGCATGCAGGACAAAGATGGAGTGCTCTGGACAACTCTGGGGGAAACAGAGAAGAGGAAGTAGTGTAAACTCCTAATGAAAATGACTGATGACAAGAATTAAGCAGTGCCAGACCCCTGTCACACATTGCTCACCTCCAGGTCTCCAAGGAAACCAGCCAAATCGAGGCCTCTGTTCTCTGCGTCCCAGTACTTGTATGGACGGACATCGTCAAAGCCAGCATTGGCAAATACAGCGTTGTGATTTTCTGAAACAAACAGCAAGAAAAACTCTGTGTTCTCATTTATTGCTTATATTTCCACTAGATAAAAGGGTGAATACTGTTTTGTTAACGCCTCTCACATACAAACTGATAACAAATCAAGATCACTGATAAAATGCGACAGTTATTAATATAACTGACATCCTAAGTCTAAAGTCTAGGGTGAATCTATAGACCTCTCTGTAAAGGACTCAAAGATCAAAGTTCTTGAATGTGGAGCAACTTTCTTAAGGGAGCGTGTTCAGTTTCACTATGTGCTGTTCCACTGTTTTTTTGCGTGCATGCGTGGGTGTACCCCAAGTAGGTGCGGACACATAGACGGGTGTTTTGGTGTTGTTGTTTCCATTGTAGAAACGCCTGAGAAACTCTGCGCCCATCTTCAAAGCACCTGTACCACCCAGACACTGGACAGCCCCCACCTGTCAGTGACAGAAACAGATGTTAGTTAGTTTAAATGTAAATAGATTAAAAACTGAAACATATTACAGTCTCTTACTACACACACCCTGTCCTCCTGGATGGCAGGACTGTCGTCTCCCAGTGCAATCTTGGAAGCTGAGGATCTGAACTCAGGCAGGCCCAGAATGGGCAGGTACTCATGGTTTAGCCTGTCATCATGCACAATGATCTTTTCCACCTTTTTCACCACTGGCAAAACCCATGGCTGGCCTTCATCTGTACGGTAGGCTACAAGGAACAATTTAAGGAAACAAATATTATTAAAAAACACTGGAGGAAAGAGATATAATTAAGTATGAGTTTTAAGCAATGTTAATAACCCCTGAATTAATCTTTTAATATACATGACATTGCGTGGCCTACATTTCCCAGCTGCCCGGTGGCTGATGGCCATCTGTAGCACTGTGTCTTGCAGAGAGAAGGGGATTAAGCGGCCTCAGCCTCCTGTACTAATCATGGGACCGAGGTAGCTTCGTGTTGTCGTGCAGTGCCACTAAACACACTGCCACAACAGAGCCAAGCAATGTCTCTCATACTCTTCCTTCGCAATGTAAGCAGCAAGGATTACTACGTTTAATAAGATTAACACTGAAAACTGAAATGTGCCATTTGCTCGTTCTAGGAAAGAAGCAGGACTAAGCCATACATATTTAAACTCCTGCAAATAGCTTGTTCTTGTAGCATGAGGGAACAGTAATCCAATCCCCCCCCCCCCACACACACACACACAGTGAGAGGTTATTATGCAGCAAGAATGAGACAGATAGGAAACCAGCTATTATATAACAAGGATACATATCAACAGAGCTGTAATCAGTAATTGGTGTGAAAGGACTAACCAGAGCATGGATAATGGATCAATTGTATTTACTCTCAATAGCGTGTGCTGAAACGGAGTCACACTGTTAATGTCAGTCAGAAAGTGACGTTAAAAATGACACAAAACAAGACATTTTAGAGATACCCACAATAACCACATAACAATACATTACAGGTGTTACGACGAAATGAGTGACCCGTCAGATTCTGTGACATTACAGGGAAAAAAAAGACTGGTTTAGTTTGCTCATTTATTTAAATGTGTGACGGTATTTAAATACTATTACATCCACATTTCATTGTAACACGTATATAAATGTATATGTGGATATTGTATCATTTGTTTAGCAGAATTTGTGTCACATTTTGAATATTTTGCAGCCGGCTTTGTTAGCTAAGCCCCATGAGCTGGCACTGGTTGCTCCAGGATACCGTTACCATGGCCAACAGTGTGACTGTCGCTCAGACTTACCTCCCACTCCGAGGTTCACCTTCTGGGGGAACTGGTCGTTACTGAAATCTTGCGATAGCTTGAAGACAGCTACAGGGGCTGCTTGTGGGACCTCACTGAACACCGACATAGCTGCTGTTTATTTGAACCGGAGACTGTGGCGACAATATGCGACAAGCGGTTTACCGAGACAGCTAACGGGACTATACAAGACCTTCACCTTCCACTTGGATTTGGGGGGATGTAACGTTAAAGTGGGAGTGAGCGGATTTTACCAATAGAAATCTAGTCCTATTTGCCAAACCAATCCCAGCCCCGATCCTGGCCAGGTCAAAGTTCAAGAAAACACACGCACAGGGGCTGTTGACCAATGAATGCCTCTGTAAACATGACTGACAAATGTCACAACAAATGTGTAGCGTTGAAAAGAGGGTGGTTTACCAGTGTGTTGCAATACAACATTGTGCCACAAGGTGGAGCCACAACCTTGTTAAAGATTGTATCAGGAGCTTCCTAGTAGGCACTGACCAGTTGATTCATAAATTGTTTCTGCTCTTCCATTAAAAACACATACATAGGGAATACAATAACTCACCGGGAAGATTTAATTGAATCTTTAACAGTACAAGCTCTGATTCAGAAGGCCAGGCTAGATATATCCCATTATAAATGTTAACTTGAACCCCCAACTGAGCGGGCTCGGGCTCCACACTGTTTGAGTGAGTGCATGTTAGTCTGTGTAAATGAGTATGTACAAGGATTTCCATCTGTTCTGTCCCGAAGGCCTCGGCTGAGCTGTGGTGTAAACACGCTGGCTCCTCTGTGCTCTCCCCACAGCTGTCTGCAGGAGCTGAAGTGGTTGATAAATGAGGGCCACTCCAGCCCTGCTCTCCCCTGCAGGGAGCGTGATTTTGTTGGAAAGCTTTTTTCGGGCCACACTGGAGGCAGGACAGTTTGAGGATGTGAATGTTTCTATCTCGGAAAGAAAGGGCTGTTGTATGGTTTGTGTGGTTAAACCAAAAAAAAGTGATGGTGAAAATGCATTAAGCCAGTACCAGCCTAAAATAAGTCATACCTTATAAAGCGAATATAGCTTCACACTAGAAGGCTGAAGGGTGCTTACTTTGATCCCAGCTCAACATGTGACAGTATGAGCAGGATTTTGTTACACCACAACTAGCTTGGAAGCCGGGCGAGGCCCCGTATGCGATAAATATGCAAAGCACATTGAGAGCAATGAAGCCATTAAAGCTGATTATGACTGTGAAGTGTGATGTGGAAACTTGAAGCCTCACACTAACAAAAAAGTGAAGTGAAGTAAGAGACATTTTGTGTGCAGCAGATAAAAAAGAGGCGCGGACCAACCAAGTTTGTGTAGTTAAAGCTGCACTAATCAAGATTTCTATAATAACAATGGGTCAAATGACTACATGTAATGTGAAACAGGTCACTCAGCTCTGGAGTTCCCCCTCACATGTACAGGGTGTTTTTTGCATTATATGGCCTGCAACCATACTGTCTTGGTTCAGTCTCAACACTATCATCAGGAAGCTCTTTTCAGTCAAAAAAAAAGAAAAAAAGGTGAGCGTAGTAGATTTAGTAGCTAAAAATTAAGACATTTTTTTCTCAGCAATTGGTGGAAATCAACAGAGCAAAAAATAAAGTAAATACTGGATTTGCAGTTGTCAGGTGAGCAAAAAATACAACTTCAAATGAATGTGAATGTGTCTGCTGGAAGTGTAAAGGTTATACTATATCAATGTTGTGTTTAAATCTTGTTCTATTGCCCCCCCGAACCATTAACACAGACAACTTTTTAAGTTGTGAGAAATCCATTTGGCCTCAATTCTGCAGCTGCAATGATAAGGTGTTAATAAACAGTTTTTGATCCTGATGCTCTGAAGCTTACAGAAAACTATCAGGACAGTCCAATGGTGTGGTCTTCCTGATGAATTAAAGAGCAAGCTAACAAGATAAAACAAGTCTGCTTTTGGAGGATAAACTGGCCAAATGTATTTTCACAAGTTGTCCTTCAAAAACCATGAATAAATTATTTATTAACTATTAATAAAGCATCAGTTACGCCTTATAACCCCCTAAAAAAGTATAATTTACAAAAGTGGTATATGTGTCCTAATAGCAGCTATCACAGAACACTGAGTTACTATTTTCCCCTGCTGTTTTGTCCCAGATGTTACTCACTTTCCCCATACCTGGTATCACCCCCACCCATCTCCACGCTTCACTTTGACAGTAGATGTTTTCATTCTTTCCGACCAGGTGAGGGTGTCTCCTATGTTAGCTATCACTGTCAGCCCTGCAATTATGGGATTTGAGCTCCCTGAACAAGGCTCGGGGGCCCAGGGCAGGGTTTGGTGTGTACGTACCAGGGAGGCCCCGGGACAATGGTCTGGGCTGTGATGTGAAGTTTGAGTCAGAGTAAAGAGTGACAGGAGTAGCCTCTGGCAAGACAGTGCCCACAGGGGGGAGTGTGTCACATCCAGATCAATGAGTTACTCAGCCAAACATTCACAGACACCCTTCTGTGCAATTCTTTGACATTGATATGTAGAACATTTATTTTGGCATCTAGCAGTGTAATGCAAATATGACCCAAAAAAAAAAAAAAAAAAAAGAGTAGTGCCAACAAGGTTTCTTTTATCACAGTGTTTTCATTTTGCGTGCAGGTTAACATTGTTGCTGTACGTTGACACTACAACACACAAAGGCACACATTCAGGCACAAGACAGTCACATTCCAGCTGTGGTATCACTGAAACACAAACAGGAGCGTGTGCACACACACACTGCAGCGCATTCCAAGGGGGACGTTGCGGCGTTGCTCACATGTTGCGATGGCCTCTGTGTCTCTGGGTCAGAGAGCCGTGGTGAGTGACCACCTTTTTAGCTTCCCGCCTTGTTTGTTTTCTAAAGACAGTGTCATCAATTCTCTAACAAGGGACTAGACACAGCAACAACAGAGAGCACAGGACCTCCCTGTTGCTGCCTGTGTAGTCCAATGACTGATGGAGCATGCATGCAATAACACACATCAGTACTCCGTGCGTCGGACTACATTCCGACTTGTGTATTTGTGTGTATGTCTGTGCAGGTTTGTGTCTGTGTGTGCATGCCTTCGTGTGCTTCATTTGATATCATGACATGAAATCTGTTTTGGGTTTTTCTCTCGTGTATGCCAACATTTACACTTTGCTCTCTATGTGCATCTGACAGAAAGACGTACAGCATGTACACCTGAGGTTAAACTGTTGGAACCTGTATGGGCAAAGATAACAACGTGACAGTTGTTTTGTTTAGTGTATTCAAATGAAATGCAAATTATATTTACCCTTTAATAACCATAATTACTTTGGAAAATGCAAATTCTTATACATCCCATCAGTAATACATCCTTGGCTATTTACGTTTTAGAAGTGTAAATACATGAATGTCACATTGTTCCCACAGTTTTCTTCAGTCTCTGTGCTAAGCTGGCTGTACAGGTAGATTTGTGTTTATCATACAGACATAAAACAAAGTAACAATCTTCTCATCTAACTTTTGGCACAAGAGCGAATCAGCATATTCCCCAAAATGTTGAACAATTCCTTTAAATAGTAATCATAAACTCAATTTATAGCATCTATCTTGTTACAAAGTAAAACTACAGAACAGAAATAAACTGTGAAATGTCTGCTTCATCTTGCCGACTAACACACAAATCACATCTTTGATATAAGATTTGACTTTGATCATAATTTTTGACATGTATTGTAATATCTATAAAGGTCTGCTAATATGCTTATCACTCACTGCTTTTCACCGATATGGCCTTTAACCCAAACGGCTGGGTGGAACCTCATACACAAGGTCTACAGTGTGCTTTTTCTAATTGATTGATGTTGTCTTTTGGCCAGCTCAGGCTCTCCAGACCTCAGCTTTATACAAATATGCATGCAAAGAAACAAAGACAGGAAGTGGAAGACTCATGTCTGAATTTTTACCCTGACTGCTTATTTTGCCCGCATAAAGCAAACTGCCACAAAAATAATAAGTGATGAGAAACCTGACTAGGTCTGTCATAATCTCTAATAATGATGATGATGATGATATTTTATTAATCCACACGGGGACAACATCTGATTTCATTCTGGCATTTACAAAGAGGTCAGAGGTCAGGTTCAGCTACAGCACAGGGACTCAATATTTCTATGGGGGCGGATGCCTGCTAACACCGGGACTCGGATCAAAGTAATTTGGTTAAAGGAGAGTCTCCATGTTCTGTACGTTCAATCTGAGCTACAGCTGCTACCAACAGCCACCGTCATCAAAAGCAAGACAGGGCTCTGAAACTGCATCACTCAGCATTTTTTACAGTAATTATTTACAAAAAATTAACTTTTTTCACGAGTAGTCTGGAGTTTTGCCAAAACAAACTGTCACTTTGACGAGGATACCACCATAGTTGCTGGAGAGACAGTAGCATTTTCTCTCAAGGATGTTTACCTCTTGAAGCCAGGATGCATGCAAGCTTTTATTTTACAGCAACATTGTCTTTCCCAAGAGAGACGTTACTGCCTGCGCAAGACAGAGAAAGCCCCTCTAATAGCGAGATGAACTTGATTCAACCTTTTGATATTTTTGATATTCTTTCACCAGCTCTGGCCAAGTAAAACAGAACATACGAGCAGCGAGGGAACAGAGGGAACGTTCAAGGCCCACACATCCTATTCACTGGAAGGCCCGCCTCCCTGCAGTGTCTTTATCTACATGGCCCGTGTGGGAGCCGAGAGGATAAGCATATTTAGGTTGCATGTTTCCTCCTAAACTACATTCCCAACACCGTAGATCATAGACATTACAGCCCTTACATCCCCCTGTTAGCGCTCATATATACAAACACACACCTGCTCGGGCAAGGCCGTCTGGGAGAGAATTACTGCGAGCTAATTTATGAGACCCAAGGGAGGGCAAAGGGCACCCAGACCCAGACTGGTCTGACCTCACTTCCTCCTTTCATGGTCTCCAAGTTAAACCGTTGATACACAGAACAGGAGTTTGGTTCTCAAACACACCACCCTCTCACACTCTTTCAAACAAACTACCTAATTAGTGTACCTTTTCCTAACCTGGTTAACACAATGAGTCCCGAGGGACTGTTGCAACATGCAAGTTAGCCATCACCTTAGACCCACCATTGTGGAATATTTGGCACTTTTGTAGCCAAAGGTAAGTGGGTGAGAACTGGGTTTTGCTGAAAATCTGGCCCCTGGGCTCGCCTCTGGCCTCCTCATTTCCTCCAGCGAGAAGGCGCTGTCATCCGTCACTCGGGCCCAGGCAGGGGCACAATAGCACAGTCTGGGTCCTGGCTACTGACACCATCACATGGGCTGCTGATAAGACTCACCTTCCGGGACACAGAGGAGCTGAGCCGTTACTGACACACAACAGTTTGGTCCTATGCCATTCATATGACCATGAAATAAAAGGAAAAAAGGAAAGTGCATTATGATCTGCATGAGGCGAGCACAATCTGTGTGTAGCCTCGCTTTCTTCTACGTTTCCAAGAACTTTTAATCTTTGTGCCCTCATCACTTCCATGTCCCAATGTGCTCTCCTAATGAAAGATGCTGAGGGGAAAGGCTATCCAATCCTAATAGATCTCTAATTTGGACTCACACACAACATGGAAAACCGCGCAGACACACTTGACCTAATCTATTTTCCTAATGTTACAATCTATTGTTGTTACTGGCTCATCATGACCACTGTAATACAAATGGATAGCCAAACTTCAGTTTCCTCATCACACATCTAGGCTGTTATAGTAACGCCTGTAAACAACCAGCTCCTTTGTAGAAAGATGTTAAGTGCCCCTCTGCAAAGCTCTGTCAAGTCATAATAACACACATCCTCTCTTTCAATACACACACACACACACACACACACACACACACACACATATATGCTACTTGAGGCCTGTACAGTGCACCCACACACACTGGAGGTGTTGATGCTTTCTTTACACGGTTTACTACTGCGGTAAAACCATCAGATACCAATCGCCTCTCGGCTTTACAGGAGCAGGGACCACAGGGGGAAAGATAATTGCAGTCATTACCAAGTCATCAAACTTCCATTTTGGGCTCAGGGATCTTCTCTCTTTAGAGAAACCCTGCCAGTGGATTGGTTTTTACGGGCCTTCAGACCACTGATATGAGTATACACCTGCCACTCTGCAGAGAAGACACTGCTTCGACAGGTTAGCCTGCCAGTGATATGGGGAGAAGGAAGGGAACAAGAAGAAACATGTTCAGCACTGCCTGGCAAGACACCGACTTTAAAGAACTCGCCAGAAAGTGAACTGAGAGGAAAGGTTGAAAATCTTTACTATAAAGTAGACTTCTATTGAGTTGGTTGCTTCTTCTAAAAATTCTCTTTGTTTTGTGTCCAGCACAAATGTTTAGAGCTGTGCAGCGCATCCGTGCTGACCTCTGCCGTTGGGCCTGACCTTACCCAGCTTATCACGGAGATTCTGAAATGAAGATGATGTATTGGAGACTCCCATTCAGCACCGAGCAGCTCCTTGACACTTCTCTGGGAGTCTGGGTTTTGTTACAGGCAGGAAACAGACTCTTCCGCTTCGTAAACACGCTCCTCTGCGTGGCCACTTTTGGACTGCCGGTGGCACGCGAGGACCACTGGTGATGGTCAGCGAGGTTGCGCGCGCGCGCGCGCGCGTGTGTGCGTGTTTAGGGTTGAAAAAGCTAATTGCGCCATTAGCGTGCTAACCTGCGTCTATGACCCGTGACGTTTTGAATTCACGCAAGTGGGACTGCGGTGCCATGCAGGGACCGGGTTTAGAGACCGCAGGCTGCTGGCAGATTCATTCATATTCATACATTCATAGTTCAGTCTTATTAACTAATGACTTGAATTTGCACCTCAAGGTCTTCTCATTATGCAAGGCACGCTCATTTCTGTTTGGTCTGTTGTCTCTGAATCACTGCGCTCAATAAACAGGAATGGGTAAATATTTGGGGAACAAATTGAGCAGATGTACATGCTTTTGGAGGATTTTTACGAGACAATACATTCCACCTAACTCTTGCACCAAAAAAAATTACCTTCCACAGTATGAAAATGACCAGCGGTTGTCCTTATAAGTAAATCTTGAGAAACACTACGGCTGTGTCAGCGGTGTTGCTCAACTGACCGTTTAAAATCATTTTAAGGGGGAGCACATTTGGAATTGCTAAAGCCTTGTGTACACTTTTCCCTGCTTTCCACTCCACTTAAACGGCCAATTTTAAAGACATAGATCTCCAGAAGAGGGGAAGGCGCTGCCCTAATCTAAACAGCGCCTTGTTGATGGTGTGCGGATGAGATTATGTCGGCGGGCCCTTCTTTTCTTTCCACACGGTTTAGAAGCAATGGGCCTTCAGACCCTGGCGCCTGCACTTGGCCACAGATAGGCGACCAGGACAGAGGTGTCCCGTTTCAGCATGTCTGCCCTTCGATACAAAGGTAGAGAAATTTCACATGTATTTTTTTTTTTTTTTTTTTGGTGTTTGTTCATTTTTGTTTATTATTTATTAAACAACATAAAACATGTTGGAAATACTGAGAATCTGCTAACATTAAATCTGCTGCGCCTTTTGCCGGAGTCATACGTTAAAACCTTTTTCTGCTAACTTAACATAACTTTTTTCAACATTATTATTATTATTATTGAGTATTATTGAGTAGTAGTAGTAGTAGTAGTAGTAGTATTCAACAGGGTTTCTAAAAAAAATATAGAATTAAAACAATTTTGTAGGGACATAAAAATGTGTTACTTGTATTAATTGCTGCACATTAAACGGATAATCTCAACTGAGCAAACAGTTTTTAAATATTTTTTAATAGTTTTTTTTTTTTCGGAAATACTGGCCTAATGTCAAGGGAAAGCACAATCTTGGCCAAATTTTAGTGGAAAAAATACAACTTTCTCAAATTAAGGAGACATAAATAAACAACAAAGCTCTAAATTTATATTCTTCATGCCTCCTTGGGTTGCCAATTTTTTTTTTAATCTCATTTCCCACAGTTGCGACATATTATCTTATCCATGGATTGCCTTGACAGGAAACGAAGATATGCCTAATCTTCAAACCACTAGTGATGATGGGAAGAACTGTGAAGTATTCAGCAGAGACAAGACGATAATAAATGCTATTCAAATTACCGGATAAACTCAACCAATTACTCAGGCGCAGCACCCAATTAAGGGTTTTGCTGTATAAACTTTTTAATTATACAAAATGAAAAGTCTTTCTGCTTTTTTTTCCGTCTTGGGAAGAGAGAAAAAAAATGTCATAAAAGCTGCCTTACCTTTAACAGACTGAGGGGAGTCGGTGGTGCTAATATAATTTCATAAATTATGCCTATATGTCTTCCTGATACATACACACACACCTACAGAGGGAGAGGCTGGCTCTATCAGTCCCTCCCCCGCCACGGGACGTCACTGAAAGGGAGAGGACAGGGTCTTGGCTGACCCAGCTCTTTCTCTAGATAACTGAATTCAGCCAACCAAACAGGATCGACCTCTCTCTTTCTCTCTCAGCCCTCCAGCCAAAGGAGAGGGATGTCACAGCTGAAAGAAAGCCAGTCCTCCTCGGTCTGCATGAAAAACAAGCAGTGCGCGACCAGTCTTCACGCTTACGCACCGGGTATTTACTTCTTTTACGCGCCGTCTGGAGAGAAATTTATCCAGTTTTGGGCCTGTTGACTATTCGTTATCTGTCACCTCTCCGTTGGTGGTAATAATGCTTCCCAGCCCGCTCATAACTTCTTCCACCACGCCTTTTTCTGTGAAGGACATTCTGAAGTTAGAGTTGCAGCAACAATCTCAGCAGCACCAGCTCCAGTTTATCTCCTGCTTCGGTTTGTCTGGCGGGCTGTCACAGCCGGGAGCATTCCCAAATAAACCCTTCCGTTCGCATTCTCCGCCCTCCTGCATGTTGGCCGGTCGGGACAGTCCAAGTCCCATCAGCTCCGGCGTCTCGGAGAGCGAGGAGAGGATGTCGTACCTCAACACGCTGACGGTACAGGACCGGCTGGCGGAGTCCGGCCTGCCGATGGAGATGTTTGGCAACCCGGCGCAGAACCACTCTGCAGACCTCCGGCTGGAGACCGAGCAGGAGGACCAAGATAGCAGTGAGTACTCAGTCTAACATGCTTATGGAAAAGTGATGATAGCTGTCGTTTTTATTGGTAATTGTATAATAGGGAGAGACATTAGATGAGTCAATTATTATTTGCCTAAAAAAATAAATCACATTTGCTAAGCTGGCTTTGATCAATATTTCTGGAGAAATAATTACTCCAAACTGACAACATATCATGTGTTGATTGATGTATAAATGACTATAGAGACTATCACTTAATACACACAGATCCTCAACGCTATGCTGGAATGATTTTTGCTAATAATATAAAATATAATATATATAAATGTAATGATACTATAATTTAGAACTAAGGCACGATAATAAGTACCAAACCTTGCACAATGAATGCTCACAAAAAAATGAGTATTGCTCTATTCCTTAGTTGGCAGCTACTTAATTCCTGTGCATGAAGCTTGCAGACATTTAAGTGTTGTTTACAGCTGCTTTATGTATTTCGAACAAGGCACAAAAATCACTGAATAGAAATGTACAAAAGCACAACACTTTTAATGATTTATTTCTTGGATTTAGCTAAATGAATGTGCATTTAATGATCCCAGAAATCGGTAGATATTTTAATAGAAAATATATTTACCTTCGACTTTACTTTCCAAGATCTAAGCATTGGTTAGTTTAAATTCGCAGATTAATTGACAAATTATTAATGAATAAGTTCTCCTTATTTTCATTCATTCCTCTTTGAAACAAGCTTTTGGTTTATTTCCCAATAAACACTGGTAAAAATACAGATGAAGCAATTTCCAATCCAGTAAACCTTCTCCTTTTCGCCTTTTAAAGGTTTTTAAAATATTATATTATATAATATTTAAAGGTAATGTAAATTATAGAGATATTTTTTAAAACATCCGCAAAAAAAATATTTTCTATGGAAATACTGTTTAATACAACTTTTTAAGGAAATTCGAATTTTTTAAATAATAAAAAATAATAAATGAATGTGTGTGTGATGAGATTCGGAAATCGTGGAGTGTGGGATCAATACTACAAAATATTACATAATTAAGACGTCTTGTTTCAGTTTTGATGTACAGTTAAACGTTTGTCCTCTATGCAGAGAGCTGCGGCGCTTTACGCGGTGACTGTGAGGATCCAGACTCGGAGAAACCCGCCACCAAGCAGCAGAGGACCAGGAGGAAACCCCGCGTCCTCTTCTCCCAGGCTCAGGTGTTTGAGCTGGAGCGGCGCTTCAAGCAGCAGCGTTACCTTTCCGCCCCGGAGAGAGAGCACCTGGCCAGCTCCCTGAAACTCACCTCCACCCAGGTCAAGATCTGGTTCCAGAACAGGAGGTACAAATGCAAGAGGCAGCGGCAGGACAAGACTCTTGAAATGGCAGGTCATCACCATCACCACCACCACCACCCACCGCCGCCCAGGAGGGTGGCTGTGCCGGTGCTGGTACGGGATGGGAGGCCTTGTCTGAGTGGATCCCAGAACTATAACACCTCTTACACAGTCGGAGCTCCAAACCCGTACAGCTACAATGGCTATCCGGCCTACAGCTACAACAACTCTGTGTACAGTAACACTTACTCTTGTACTTATTCTAGTTTACCTGCTCTTACGCCCAGCAGCACCGCTGCCAACGCTTTTATGAACATGAATTTGGGAAACCTTGGTGCACAGACGCAAAACCAGGCAGCCCAAGGCCCAGTCGTCACACCGTGCCAAGGAACTCTGCAGGGCATCCGGGCATGGTAGCGATAGTCTTCACGCACAAACACAGCTGGGAGAGACTTCTTTGGAATGGATGAATCAAGCATGTAACCTGATCTACTAATGCAGCGAAAGCACAATTTAAAACTCTGTAACACGTGTAGGCCAGTTTCCTGTAACTCAAGGCAGGCCTATGAGGAAACCCTAACCCGTTGACTGATAAACAAACCATATGTATGCGCATTTTTCTCTGAGCCACATTGTCTAGAAACGTATTAAACCTGCTGTTGGATGTTGGATTATTGGATTGAATGTCGCCGATTAAAGACTGTGCGTAATGTGGCCTATTGTGGTTCAAAATGGATGTAATGCGCGAGAAAAATAAAGGGAATTTGTATGAACATTTCTGTGCTGAAGGGATAACCCCCTGAATTAGAAAATAACAACATGGACCACAATTGCTAGATAATGCAATTTTATAAAGTATTATGCTTTGTTTTCTTTTTAACAGTGTGACCTGTGGCCAGTAACCTTTGTTTTTATTACTTTAAAATTAACTAGCAGATTGAATAGCAGCCTATATGAAATGAATAAAACGGGCGCTTTTGAGTAATAGGGCTGTTTTTAGTTACAATATGGATGAAAATGATCACTGATCATGAAATTAAATGATATAAAAAAATCTGAATGACACAAATGACAGTTCTGTGTGTGTGTGCGCGCGTGTGCGCGTGCGTGCGTGCGTGCGTGCGTGCGTGTGTGTGTGTGTGTGTGTGTGGGTTTACTGAATCACATACGGGAACTTAAACAAATACAGTATACATTAATGTAAAAATGTACGTTGTTATGCCCAGTGGGACGTTTCTGCCCTTGTTTGGAAGCACGTGTTAATGTATCTCAGCATTCATATAAATCTGGACAGGAAGCTCAAATAAATGAATGTTAAGTCTATTCATATACGTGTAGTTTCTCATCGTCTCAAGTCGTTTTTCTCAAGGCAAGCAAGCATTTTTCTTCCTGTGAGAAAGCTTATGGTTAGACTTTGGTCTGAGACAAGAACCAGAAACGAGAGAGAATTTAGAGGCGAGCTAATGTCCGGTCAGGATTCAGAGATGGACATTAACCAGACAGCCAGCATCCTCGGGACCCACAGAGCGAATAAACTCACACAGCTTTGGATGATAAATATTGTTGGAAGTTTCTCTTGGTTGATGCATGACACTGAAATATAATTCCCCAAATTATATATTTAAAAAAAGCTATGCTACAAATAATAATATCATTATTATTATGATAATAAATATTAATAACAATGTTTTTTTTTTAACAATCGGGACTTTAGCCTGTCAGTAATTTTATAATGATTATATTATCTCCTAATCATGTAATAATTACCCATATTTTCTCTCCATCTCTCTCTCTCTCTCACACACACACACACACACACACACACACACACACACACACACACACACACACACACACACACACACCGTTGATTGGACTTAAACAAACACCTTCACCTCCCAGGCATGGTCGAATAGGCAGACACTATTAATGGAGATGAATGGCAACGTAAACAGAGTGTTTGTCTCCTCTGATAGCCTCACTGGCCACTTCCCCTGGCTACTGCACTGCCGGTAGGACATACCTGGTGTCAGCTCTAAGTGCTGCAGAGTCACTAGTGTAAATAGAGCTGGCGACAGAGCGGCGATGCCTGAGGACGCGGCCCTGGCCACGGCTGCTCTGACAGGCGCAGCGATCGCTATCTTGCGCTTCCAAAGATAGCAGCTCGGCTCATCGCTGCGCAAGGCGTGGAGTTTCCCAAAACAAAGTCTCCAATGGCAACTACTCAAGGAGCTCACAAAAGCTCCAGGGCCCAAATATAGAGACGAAAAAGTGCGCGGAGAAGCTGGAGTAAAAGCTTTCCCATTAGGTGGCCCTTCAAGTGACGCCCAGGCAGCCAGCATGCCATCAAATGGATATGGAAAGGTTTGTCAGGCCTATTGTCAAATTATCTGAAAATGTAGCTTCTATATAATCACAGTATAATTCAGTGTAACGTTAGGCAAAAGGCAATTTTAATTATGACAACAAAACCTCTGAGACTTGTGGTTTTGCGCTGTATACATGAAATTAGCTCGACTTGACTTGACTTGCCAGTTGATGCATCACTTTCACACAAAGATTTAAACATGATTTTTCTTTCGTATGCAACAGAAAAGATTTCCTCTCATGATCCAAATCGCAATATATTTTCAGATCTAGTGGATGCACATGCAGCGTTTCAGTCGGTTAAGAGGACTGATACAGAAGCTGTTCGTGCGTGTTCGGGAGGAAACTACTTAGCAGGCAAATGACAGGGAGGTTTAAAATACGAGTGTATCTGGGCGCAGACATGTTCCTGATAACTATGAGTGAATGAATGAAAAGGCTGGTTTTACGCAGAAAATACTAGTATACCAGTAATGTGCCTATGTTCCCACATGGTTTTGCTGAATTAAAACGCTACATTTTGTAATTGTGGTGATGACATCCCGTGGTTTGAACACATGTAAGCGTGCCAGAACTTCCATGTTTTCCATTCGGACATGTTTTGACACCCTGGAGCTGATTTGCGCTCTGTGGCACAGAGAGAGATTTTTCTGTTTAGTCAGAGGAAGAACACAAAACAACAGAGAGGAGGTAGATCACTGCATCTGTCATCACGTCTTCTCACTGAAAGGTAGGCCTGATGATTGTGCAACGCATGTGTTGAGTGTGTGTGTGTGTGTGTGTGTGTGTGTGTGAGTGTGAGAGAGAGAGAGAGAGAGAGAGAGAGAGAGAGAGAGAGAGAGAGCGAGAGAGAGAGAGAGAGAGGCACATGGATAGTTGCTCTTTTTTTTTTTCGCGCCTCTTAACTTTGAAAACTATGCATCAAGACCACACGGCGGCGCTACTGGCCAGTTTTAGCAACAGTCCCTCTTCACAATAAACTACTCTGTCTTTGATCAAACTCAGTTATACTAAAATCAAAGTTTTATATTAACAGTTGTGCCACATATGCAAAAGTGGGTTGCAGTATTATTGAAGGATTTAAAACCACGTTCTCACATGTAAAAGCCTGCACTGAGCCTCTTTTACGCACGCTTGGCGAACTTTACGCATCAGATTTTCTTGCAACAATTGACATATAATTAATACTTTATAAACACACAGTGGTTGAAACTGCTCCATTTTGCAAGAATAGTTGACAACATCCACTTTGAGTCTCTACCTCACGTCTAATATTCACGGTATTGTTTGAAAAAATGCTCAACAGGGTCTAATTTCTCTCCTGGTCTCCTAATAATTAGACAGGCTCTGACACAGTGAGCTACACAACTATTCACTTTTTAAAAAATAATTCCTTGCGTTTGTAACGTAAGCTATAAAACACACCTCACCAGAAATACCTCCTCTGCAAAATCAGTGTCCGACGTTCTCAATTAGAGCTCAGTCACCCAGCTTGGATCTGGGCGGTGCGAAGGAGGGACCAGTCCAAGAAAACAGCCTATCAGAGGTTAACTGGAGCTGCTGCTGCTGCCGCTGCTGCTGGGAATACTGTAATAGACTTGACAGGTCCTGATGTAGGCTGTTCATTAGCAGACCGGACTTAGCTCACCACAATTAAATTAGAGCAATTAAAGAGAGCGGTGAAAAGATCGAATCAGTAAGGACTTTTGCTTTCGAGTGGATGATCTCTTGATGCCTCCAAATAAATCGCACGCCAGAGTGCAGGAACCAACCGTGCGTATATTTTAATCATGACATTAAGTTTTTCGTCCTTCTCCATTAAGGACATCCTCACCATTAGTGATGCCAGGAGGAAGCCTGTCGCGAGGTGTACAGAGGGGCTGTGCGGACCAAAGCACAACATCTGCACCGGGCACGCTGGAGCCCCTGATCTGTCTCATCAAGACGCGGATGAGAACCGCATCCACTCGGAGAGACTTAGCGCTGATCTCAGTCTGTCTGCCCGATCTGATACCTACAGCGAGGAGTCCACAGGAGAGGAGACTGAGCACAAAGAAGGTGAGCAGCTTTATTCTAGTCGGTAGTAAGGAATGGTAAAGACTCAGTGGTGTTACAGTGCAACAAATATGACAATATTTTCACAATTTCTTGGTTTTAATTCACAACATACAAATTGTTAGGTGAGATATTTGCTGCATTATTTAGTCTTAGTTAGTTTTATATTTAGTTTTCCCAGTAACAAAATTAAAATTTCTTTGAATAAATACAAAGCTCTTAAGGACATATTTGGCACAGATATCAGCATCAGAAATACTTTAATAATCCCAGGGGGAAATTATTTTATATCTGCATCTGTAAGCCTGAAGGCCAGTGACATCTGTGTGTCACGAAGAAGCCATTTAATTTCACAATAATAATTTTTTCCCCCTTTAAGTCAGACTTTAAGAAAAGTATTGAAGCTATGGGGCAGTGCTGGAAACCCAAAACATAAAACCATAAGGTGTGTTGTGTAGTTTTGACTGTAAACATGTTCGCCTGGCCTCATCTAAAAAGCTTTATTTATTTAATAATATCACCTTACTTTTTGAAAGGATGTTAAGAGGAAAACCTCATTTTGGCCAGCATCGGCCCCTTGTTGAAGTGACCTCCCAGTCAGCAGCTCCAACAGCTTTTTGACTACCTTGACAGAGAAAACCTTTTTTGACATATTTTATTATCTTTCCTAGGCGCCGCAGACCAGCAACCACACAGCGAGGAGCGGGGTAGATGGCAGAAGAAGGAGGCAGAGGAGGATATGGAGGAGGAATATCACCACAGCGGGGAGACGGTCAGCTGTTCCCCCGAGGAGCGGCAGTCCAGGTCCGGTACCAAGAAGCGCTCCAGGGCGGCCTTCTCTCACGCACAGGTCTACGAGCTGGAGCGCCGCTTTAACGCGCAGCGGTACCTTTCAGGACCTGAACGGGCAGATCTGGCGGAAGCTCTGAAACTCACAGAGACCCAGGTGAAAATCTGGTTCCAGAACCGGAGATATAAAACCAAACGGCGCCAGATGGCCGCCGAGCTGGCGGCGTGCAGCGGCTCGCCAAAGAAAGTAGCAGTTAAAGTGCTGATGAGGGACAGTCCGTACCATCAGGCGAATGGAGTACACATCCCAGTGTCTGTGCCACTGTACCACGCCTACCAGTACCCCTACCTGCACTACTGCTGCCAGCCCTGGACCATGAACAGCATGTCTTGTGGAGGGATGCTCTGAAGCCCTCTCTTTACTCCAGAGAATACATGACTTGAAGTGTCTCCTCCAACTCAAGGTGTTAGCTGTCTGTACAGTCAGTGGATCTTCTCTGTCAAACTGACTGAGTTTGTACAGTTTTTTTCTATTATGTTTTTTTTTTTTTTTTTAACTAAGCCAGTTTAGCATGCTTTTTCTTTTTAATGCAAAACAATATCAGAATTTGACCTGCTAGTTAGAGTTCATAGAATGCAAATGTCATTCAACATTTAGAGAGGAAAGAAAAAATAATAAACCATTTTAAAGTTAGAAATCTTTGGAATTTAAGACCAAGATTTGAGTGTGGTTATTATTTTGCGATGATTTACAAGAAGAAAATATATTTTAAAGGATAATGTTGACAAAAACGGTTCTGCTGTATTTTTCATCCACCAAATGCTGTGTAGGTTTCTCTTAATCTTATTTTCTATCTATTTTATTTAATAATATATGTATCTTTTTAAGAAAAAACTTCTACGTGACTGTACAGAAAATGGGAGGTTTGTTTATTTCTTTTGTTAACTAAGGCGAGGGTAGTCTGACTTGGGAGAGCAGACGAGGGTCTTTTTATATTTTAACAACCAGATTTTACATTTTCACATTCCCTTGCAAGATTATTAAAAAACAAAAAGGTGCAAATAGTTGCAAATGATGGCCATATAGTGTGGCAGTGGGTCATAAAGGTGTGTTTTGCTGTAGCCTATACAGAAGACAATGATCTTGTCTCTGTTTCAGGCATTTACCACACTTAATATTATCTGCCAAATGTAATTTCCTCCTTCACTTTCTTCTGCATCATAACAAAAAGAAAGTTATGTTTGCCATAAATTTGGAGATCACTTATTCTGCCTCTAATCATTGTATTCCATAAATATTGATCACTCCATCTTAAATTCTTTATGGTTTTCCTTCAGATTCATAAAGGTCCAGTGTGTGCTATTTAGTGGCAGTTAGCAGTGTAGTTGCAGATTGCAACTACCTCGCCGTCACCTTCACCCTCCCCTTACAAACACTTAGAAACTATGGTGGCTGCAAAACGCACTACAGACACTACAGGGTAATCTAGAGCCACTGTTTGGTTTGTGCCTTTTGGGCTACTATAGAAACATGACGGTTAAACATGGCGGACTCCATGGAAGACAGCCTGTGGCGTCTGTAGATAAATAAATCATTCTTAGGTAACAAAACCTAATGATATATTCAGACTGTGTGACTATACACTAATGAAAACATACCTATGAATATTCTATTCCAATTCTGCCAAAAGATCCTCCTAATTGTTACACACTGGACTTTTAATAGTGGGACAAGTTGTACCAACACAGTGCTACATTTTGAGATACAGCAGGAGGTTATTGCAGGTTTAAGTCATGGGCAGGTCCCAAATAAAATATTAACAATGCCGGGGAGGGTGTTGCAACGGATATTTAAGATTTAATCCCCCTCTCCACCCCAGTAATTCCATAACAGTATCACAATACTGAGACAAAAGTGGCCTTTAGTGTGTAAACTACACGGTATCCTACAATTAAGCAAACTGTATGCTTTTTATTCATCAGTGCAATTAAATAAATTTGTCATTTTCCATTAACACGTGAATTAACTTCAGTGGGAATGAAAGGACCTAGCTGTACGTTATTAATTATACTAAATCAGGTAGTGATTTACTTTCGCAGTACGGACTCCTGACTGGGTTCCACAAGAACCCATAGGATGATCTGTTGCTTTTCCCCTCCTTAATGACTGCCAGGAACAGTCCATTTTAAGCAACCAGACAGAGCAGAAAGGAATCCTGAATTTATACAAACCCAAAGAGAGAAAGTAGCTTACCTCAGCATGCGAGTAGTGTGACTGAGACTGACATTTTTAGTAGGTATTTATTTTATTTATGGGACATCTTTATTGGTCAGGGAACTCAACATAACACCTGCAAGAACAAATTCTCACATATGAGGTTTATGGACCTTTAGTAATCTTATAGAGATCGTGTCTGTGTGTATTTGGGTCTTGTTATTTTTTTAAACAGTACTAAAGCAATAGATTAAGAACCAGTCAGGTTGGACACAAACAGCACTAACTTACTGTATGCTTTTTAAAAAGTGTGTGTGTGTGTGTGTGTGTGTGTGTGTGTGTGTGTGTGTGTGTGTGTGTGTGTGTGTGTGGAAAGCGATATGTAATACCCATCCATGCGAAGAAATGAAGACATCAAATTGAGTTTACTTTCCTTTTTTTTTACAGATTTTACCGACCAGATGGTTATGTGTGTGTAAAGAGTCATGCGAAAGCCTACTCTGTTCTACTATGTGCTGCATGAGTCAGAGAAGGTCAATAGACCATGGAGATGTTGCACCATCCTGCCAGGCTGCAGAAGACAGCACACATTAATCATGCCTTACTCAAAAGACTGCACCCTCATCCCAATGACTATACACAACAGCCACACTCCATAGAAAAATAACATGATTCCTAAATGAGGCGACTGGTGCTTTGGCTCAGTCCTGAATAACTGATTACTCACCAGTGATAAGGCCCTGACTGATGTACCTCATATAAACACATAAAATAAGTTCTCTATGTGGAGGCTACAAACTGTGTGCTCATGTACACAGTTATTGCAAGTACAGCAAGGGAGTGTCCTGTCTATCTATAATATTATTACTACAGTATTACGACATTAAAGAGGCCGTGGCGTCAATGTAAAATAGGCACTTCAACTTCTCTTTTCCCACAACAATCTGCTTTTGGCACAGAGGATCACCTTGTGCCATCTGGCACCAGCCCAAACCTCATTTATCTCTTATATCAAAACACCACTTCAAGCTGTCCTAAGTGGTTGACACAACAGGTTTCTGTGAGGGAGGAATAGCACATCTTTTGACTGTCCGACTGTAATTTACCAGGGCACCATTCAGTTTAATTATTTTCATTTACACAAGGAATATTTGCTATTCAAGACTTAGCCGACCAAAACTATATGCAACATAAATGGTCATGGTATTGCATTGTGGCTCCAAGGTATGCCACTTTGTATGTGCTCTGATTATTCACATTGTGCTGGTGAATAGTTGCTTTAGTCATTGCTGTCTACCGTGACTAGATAAGATTTTGTCTATATCTGCACACAGTCTGTGATGTCACGCTGATGTAAATTTCCATAGAGAACAAGCAAGGCACTGAAAAGAGTGACACAAGCCAGGATGATTTTAATGACTCATCTGTAAGTGAAGTTGAATGTTAATTTTCTGGAATGTCACTTGGCTTTCATCTGACAGAAGGAGTTGCCCTTGTCCTCACTTAAAGAATAATTCTGGTTTGTTACAAATTCTGTGTTATTTCCATGTGTTTTGACCATTATTTTTCTCAGTTAAAATACAATTATACTTAAACTACTACTACTTAAACTAATTATAATTATACTATAAGTTAATTGCTAAAATCTGGGAGCATGGCAACATTGCTACGGCAAAGACTAAGGGGGAAAAAAACAAGTAGTCAGACAACCACAGAGGTTACACAATGAGTCAACATTTTAGCCATATTATCTCATTATAATATTGTCCCTTAATACATAAAAAAATTGCACACTTGCCATGTAACTATGGCAAGTGTGAACCAGGATGTTTGCAACAGACAATTTGGGTGGTAATCCTTCCTTTGTTTGCCTTTATTTGCTCTTTCAAACACATTTGGCTAACTTTGGGGTTAGTTTACAACTTGTGTGATTGTCTAAATTCTCGTGTTTCTTCGCCTATCAGATGTCACCACATTCCCAGATCTCAGCAATAGAGTGAGCCATCAAGCATAGATTTGTAATTCTCAAGTATGTAAACATTTTGAGTTGTGCTTTATTAGCGTGCCTCCCCGTGAATAGGCTCATAAAGCAGACACAGAGAATGACAGGAGCCAGACAGTAGTGCAGAAGAACACGTTCCTCTGCCTCTACAAACAATCATCAGCACCAGTTTCTACAACTTAACAAAGAATTAAGGAGCAGATTTAAATAGGCCTTATTAATGCCAGTGGAAACAGGTAATTTCCTGTTGTCTTTTATGTCACTGCAGAGTTTTCAGCCGGGAGGAATGCATTGAGGGTGAGGCTGAGCTTAAGTGAGCAACACAGGAATGACAGTCTTCACCTAATCCGTGCTTGGCTGCACTTTCAAGATACAGATCTATTGACGAAGAATTCTCACAGGGCTACTGAGCGGCAATTACACATGCATTTCCGATGGCCCTATTGTAACAGGAATCATTTTCTCAAGGGCCTAGTTGATTTAAACAATATCATCTTCTGCTGCTGGCACTGAGACTGATGGGTAATATGAACAGATTTAGAGCCCACACAAAAGCGGGACAGGGAGAGGCTTCCCTCTGAAAATGATTCACACCCTGCCAATTGTTGAATGAATTATCAGAAACAATTATAACAACGGCCAAATGTTTTGCTTTGGGAAAAAGACAGAGCAGCAGTGTGTGTTTTGGTGCTGTTAATGCGTTGGCCCTCGGCAGACACGGGGCAGGACTCAGGAAGGAGAGGGGTCATGGTTAATACCTCTGTTTAAAGACAAATCTGCTTCCCTTTGACCTGGTCTCTCTCTCTCTCTCTCTCACACACACACACACACATACACACACCCACACACACACACACACACACACAGCGCAAATAATCCCACCCAGAGGACTCTTCAGGCTTGTTCCAGAAACTATTAGCAGATAGCATCAGTGCATGTAGGAATGTAAACATTTACAGTAAAGCCATAAGACATCAACTTGCCCCTGGGGAAGACACATCCATCACTCCAACTGCATCAGCACTCAGAAGTCCCCCTGGTTTCTAAATGAATTAGACATCACACCTTTGGACAATTTGAACCGATTTTAATCAGCCCGTGTTGTTCTGTTAGCCAATGCCGGTAAGTTCACAGCTAAGTGATCAAAGCTACAGTTGATTTCCATAAAATCGTCTGTTACCAAAGTTGAATCATTTTATTTTATTTAACTGGTTTACAATTCAAACATCTTTTAACAAATGCTATTGTTTTGAGGCTAAGCAGAGAATACTGTAGCACCCTAGCAGTTACTGTGGCCCAGCGGTCATAATATTGTGCATGTAAAGAAATAAAGAAATGCAGTGATCCCAGCTCGGTGTTTGTCAGAGCAGGAGCAGGGGTCATGGAGAGGATTAGAAAAGGACAGAGAGATGAGCCCACCCAGAACTTATAAAGAACAGTCACGTTTTGAGTAAGTAGCATAGGTCCATGGTGTGTGCGTGTGTGTGTGTGTATGTGTGTGTTGTGTGGGTCCATTAGGAGCAGATCCAGGATGTTCAGGGCTCAGAGTCTGAATATATCTGGAGGCAGATTGAGCCAAAGCAGTAAGGTAAAACTCACAGAGGAGTGGAAAATAAGACAAAAAAGACAGCACACATCCTTTTGCTAAACATCTCTTATCTATATTTCTACATCACATGTTTGAATGCCCAGTTTTGAAAGGTATTCCTATAACATATACAATGAATATTCAATTGAATATACTTGGGGGGGCAACATGGGACAGGAAACAAAACTGGAAACAAAAGGTTGCATTAATTGTTATGTGTCTGCATGCATCTGTAGAAACAGTGTGTCTATCAGTTGTTGAGGGTGAGTATGTGATGAGCTGCCCTGTCCATAGATGGACAGAAAGATTTCCAGGCTGCTACATTTCCTTCCTCTGACTCTTCTCCGCTCTCCTCATGTCTCCCACACACATGCTCAGACAGACAGACACTCCTCCAGAGCCGGCCGAAGGAATCCAAATGTTTTAATTAGCAGTGATAAGCAGAGACAAGGAAAGCATTGAGCAGCTCTGACACACAGACGTCTCCTATCAGTGGGCTGATAAA